CACCTGGCCCTCTGCAGATGCGTGGTGGGTCAGGGGGCATATTTCTGGATCTCACAGACATGGGCCTTTGCATGGAAGGAGAGTGGGCTGAGTGAGTACCTGAGGCCTATAGGGAGGCAGACCCAGGACACTTGCAAGGTGTGTCTTGTACAGAGCGTGTGCCTGGGGCCATTCCTTGAACCTCCAAGGGCAGATGGGGTGCCCATGTCTGCTCCCCCACCTATATTACTGTGCAGCTGCAGTCCAGCAAGGGCCTCTGGTAGCCCTGCTGCGTCCCGAAGATGTTCTGCCCCTTACTTCCCTCCTGCCCGCAGTGATCTCAGCATGGGCATTTTTCTGAGCAACCTGCACTGCTTTCTCAAGGGCAGTATGATGCCTGTTGGTACAGGTGGCGAGTTCTGTGGCTCTGAAAAGCTGGTTGCTCCCAGGCCTGTGAGAGGCCCACCCTGGCTCTCCTGTGGGGTGGCTCAGGTTCAGTCTGGGAGGCTCTCCCATGAGCAGTCCAGCCTGTGCTAGAGGAGCCTGTGGGAAAGTGTCTTTACTGCCGCTGGCCCGACAGCAGTGCACACTCCCCACTGTCCAGTTCAGGGTGGAGAGTGCGGCAAGGTCTGCATCAGACATGCTCACTGGAGCCACAGGCCACTTGTGTCTGAGTGATGGCTTGCCTTAACATGTGTGCTGTTCAGTGGCTGCTCATGAAGAGTGACCTCCATGAAACTAATGTTTCTGCATCTGCAGAACATGCCCAGTCCTCTGTCCCTAGGTACTCAGGCTCTGTGGAGCCTGTAGTGGGACATGGGGCTCGAAGAGCTGAGATGCTTCTCTCCTGGGGCTGCTTCTCCTTAGGCAGTTGGCATTAAGCAAATGACGTGCTGTCTGGGAGAAGGGCACTTAGGTTACCTCACTGGGCCCTGGGTAGCCAAAAGGAAGCCCTCTGGGTAGGTAATATCTGACATGCATTTGCAGCATGTAATTGGAACCACGAGAAAGGGTTTTGTTTAAAGCTAGTGAACAGTTTCCTTATTTTAAATCTATTGGCTTTGGAAAGAGTTGTTAGCTTTTGAATCTTTTCTCTGATAATGACTATATAGAGTTTGATGCAAAGAGTTTCTGGCGCACATATCCCAACCTTGGGTGAGCCCATTTTCAGGTGCCACTGAGGCTGGCCTAGCTTGGTCTCCTGGAGCTTCCCTTATGTGGCAGAGGCTGCACTCTCACTCTCAGGAATGAGTCAGAGCCAGCAGCTGGTTTCCTTTTCTGGTTATAGGGTCTGTCATCTTGCTGTCTCACCTGAGTTGCTCCACTTTCTGCAAGTCAGTCTCATAGGTGGCTGTGCTTCTAATCCTGGTGTTGACTGTGGCCCTGGAGGTCCTTGGGTGTCTTGGGAGAGTACAGGACAGTCGTGAGGACATGTGATGGATAACATGGGGCAGTGCTGGTGGTGGACCAAGGCTTTGCTCTCTGCTTCTTTGACTTAGCACCCTGCTGACATTGGAAGTCCAGGCAGAGCCCACGACATGGCTGGACAGCAATCAGGATGTAGTGGGTACCTTAGCACTGGCTTCTGCACCCCTGCACAGGGTGGATCCCTCCAGGCAGAGATGTAGACTGGGTGGACTCCTGCAGCTGGGTCTTCCCAACCCTGAGAGTATGTACCTATTTAGACAGGAGCCATGAGCAGATACAGACCTGACATTTTTGATTCTCATGGCTGGTTTGCCTCCCTCGGTCGTGCAAAGGGTGTTTTGCAGAACGATGTCCTTTCAGCCTGGGAGCAGAGCCTGGCCTCCCTGCTGGGCTGCACAGTGCTGCACAGGGTCCTCTTGGGGGACGCTGAGCAGCTTCCTTGGGGAGCTGCTGTAGGACCTGTGTGGAGGGGTTGGGACTGCTGGTGCTGCCTCTTATAGTACTCTGCTCAGAAATTGATTTTGTCCTGTGGAACAGTAATTGACACTTGGAGAGGGCATCCAGGTTTCCCTGAGGCCATGGACTGTCCGACTGGCCTTGCCTAGAGCATCTGGGCAGTCCCATGAGGGAGTCCAGGAAGTCAGGCCAGCAGAAGCTGCACCGTGGGGCCCTGCCTTCCCATCGCCACTACCGATTAATGTTGACATTGCTCGGGCACTGAGTGAGTTTGAGTGACAGTAGCACACTGGGAGTAATTCCATGCCAGCTGCATTTCTCCGGGTGGGGTTGTGCATGGCTTGCCAGCCTTACAGACTCTTTTCAGCTCTAGGTGAGGTCTTGGTTAGATGTGGCTGTTGAAGTTTCATTGGGTTAGCTTTTTTTAAAGCTTGTGTGAACCCAGTGAGGTGCTCTGTGTGGACGAGGTGGGTGTGAAGCATTTACAGGGGCCACAGGCAGTCCCCCTGCTCTGTGGCTTCCTCCCCTGTGGGAAGGCCCAGTGTCCACTCTGCTGTGGGAGTTGGGTGGCGTTGGGCGGGGTGGGATTGGCACTCTCCGAGGGAGGTGGTAAGCTGGTTTGTATGGTCACACGGTGCCTTCTGGGCTTGGATTAGGCAGGAAGGACAGGGTGCAATGTGGTTGCTGGACTAGGATGTGGAGAAATCAGGGACAGCAGCCGTGGTGTGACAGTTCAGAGTGTACACAGGAGATTGACTTGCTCTCTGACCCCCTGGGTAGTCCCCTGGATGTCTGTGAGGGACTGAGGTGTGCTGGGATGAGAGAGACTATGCAGGGGGCTGGGCCTTGCTAGGGTTCATAGCAGGGTGAAGAGGAGGCCAGAATCAGGCTGGGTGGCCTAGGCGTCTGTGGGAACTGTGTGGTTCCTTTGCTTGCTCAGAACACTGTGTGGCCCTGGCCTGTGGCTCATCCTGTGTGCAGACATGGGCCTCCCTCCTAGTGGAAGTGCACGTAACAGTGTCTGTGAGGCTTTTCCATGGGAGAGTTCATTGGTGTAGTTTTAAGTAAACTTATAAAAAGCAAATTTATAAGCTTTAAAAAAAATAATCACTGTGTATTTGTAAAAATAAGCTGTCTTGAATCATATCAGTATTTGGGGTGCTATTTTATAGAGTAAAAGTCTTTAGAGCAGAAAGGTAGAAGGAGGTTCTATATACTGTTTGAGGTCCTGCTTTTGGTGAATTTTGTCTGGGTTCTGTCTCTCAGGATGGGTCTGAGCAGCCACGAGGCTGGTGCTGTGGAGCAGGCTCGTGGGGTGTGCTGGGCAGTGTCTGTCTGCTGCTGGCTGTTGAGCTGCATCCTCTGGCTGCTGTTAGGGGCTTATCTCCCCCTCCGGATTGGTCTGGGGTGACCTCCACAGACTGTAGCCACCGCAGCTTGCTATGTCCAGGACACTGACAGAATGTGTGCTGACAGCGGGGCGCCCTTATGGCCTCTCCTGGTGCTTGTGCTGACCTGTGTCGTCAGTCATTTGCTGACACAGGAGCAGTTCTGCCAGGTGGCTCTAGCACGCGGACACAGAAGTGTCTCCATTGCCTCTGTGAGAATGGTCACATACTTTTAATTATTTTTTCTTTCAGTACTGGGGATTGAACCCAGGAAGTACTGAGCTACGCCTCTACCCCATTTTATGTTGTATTTTTGAGACAAGGTCTTGCCATTCTGCTCAGCCTGGGCTCAAATTTATGACCCTTCTAATCCCCAGTACCTAAGATTACAGTGTGAGCCGTAGCACCTGGCTGTGCTTTTATTTTTAATAGTTTTTAAATGTCAGTGTGGGCTATTTAGTGTTCTAAATATGGCGTTGTAGTTGGGTAATTTGAATCAATAAACTGGAATTTTTAGCTTAGTCTTTCAAAAAATTTTACTTGTTATGACTTTTTTAAAAAAAATTGATTCTATCCTTGAATTAAATATTTTTAAGATTTTTTAAAAAAATATTTTTTAACCTTTTCTTACTATGGTCACTTTTAAGAAGATTGGTTTATTTACAAAGTACTTTAATAAGTATAATTGATCTTCTCCAATACTGGTAATTAAACCCATGGTCTTCACACTATGTTATGGCCTTTGCCCTTTAAAAATTTAAATTTTGGTAAAGCGCCTGCTTAGGCAGAGTGCAGTGGCCAGGGTTCAATCCCGGGCTTGCTGTGTGGTCCCCGCCCCCGGGGCACCCTGAGATAGTGATTGAGACTGGGCATGGTGGCATGTACCTGTAATTCCAGCACTTGCGAGGCTGAAAACAGAATCACTGGGAGTCTGATCTATGTAGTGAGACCCTGTAGACCCTGTCGTAAATACATTAAAAAAAATAATAATAATTAAATTTTGAGACAGGTTCCTGCAAGGTCACTAAGTTACCCAGAATGGGTTTGAAGTTTCAGTCCTCCTGCCTCAGCCTTCTAGAGGGCCGGGATTCAGGGATGTGCCACTACGCCTGGCTTATCTTATTTTTAACTAATGTGCATGTTTCTAGCAAGCAGATCCTCCCCAGATACTCCTAGTAAACAAAATAGGTAACTGCAGAGGCGCTGGGGCCAGAGGGACTCCTGGACTCACAGGGCTCAGGCTCAGGCTCTGCTGCGATCCTTGTCAGCAGTCGCAGGTGTGACTTCAGTGTTCACAGGACCAGACAGCTTTCTGCAGTGTTCCTTACACCACTGTGATGGTCGCAGGCATTACAGATGGTGAGGCTCATGGAGCAGCGGAGTCCTAGCTCCTGAGGCTGCAGTGCACTGTGCATGGCCTCTTTCCCTGGAGGCCGTTGAGGCCCTGCTGCTGTCAGGAGACAAGGGTTAGATCTTTCTGCCTTATCCGTGGGCACTGGGGACCTACAGAGCTCAGGTCTTTCTCCCATCACATGTGGTTTTCACCTTCCTAATGCTCAGGTCAGCTTCAGCTTTTGGAGCTCAGCAGGGAGCTGGTGCCCTTCTGAAGGAACTGCTGTTTGTTTCCCTGACTGTCACCTGCTTTGAGTGATAGGCTTCCCTCCTCCCTGTGGGGTTTGCTTCTGCAGACAGGATGCTGTTGATGTTATACTGTGGCATGCCAGCCCTCACTATCTATGTCTTTTGCAGTGGTTGCTGTGATCCTGAGGGCTGTGACCTATGAGGAGAAGCGAGGAGCCTGCAGTGTGGGTGCCAACGTCAGGGATGCCGCCTGCTACGTGTGCTGGGCCTTTGCACGTGCCTATGACCCGCAGGAGCTATCACCCTTTGTGGCTGCCATTGCCAGGTGAGCCTTTGGGTCATGCTTGTCATCTTGAGGGCAGTGCACTTATAGGGTCCAGGTTTCAGGGGTCAGTGGAAGGCAGTGTCCTGACAGCTCCTCCCTGTGGACCCAGGTCCTGGAAAACAGTCAGGAAGCACCAGGTGGGAGGAAGGTCTATCCACAGCTGCTCTTGGAGAGTTGAGAACACACGGGTGTTGGAGTTGGGCAGGGCAGTGTGCTGCTGGTGTCTGCAGAGTGCTGCGTCGTTCACAGCCTCCTCGGGGAGCTCTCTGCAGAGCAGAGTGCCCTGGGGAGAGAGGCCACACTGGCAGGTTCCTGAGTCACCAGGAAAATGGGATCCTAGTCTCCAGTGTGGGCTGTGGTGTTCTGGGCTCTGGTTAGAATCGTAAGGGAGGAAGCCAGGTTCCTGGGAAGGGGTTCCTGGCAGAGGTCTCAGCCTGTGCCACCCTGCCTAGCTGATAGGAGTTGGTATTTTTTACTTGGAAAGATACAAAACAGTGGTGTTTTAGTACAGGAGTCTCTTGAAGTTTTGTGTGCTAGTCTGATAGGAGACTTCAGTTTCTTGAAGCAGAAAGTTCTGAGGGGCTGAGCAGGGACCCAGAGGAGCTGTATAACCTCCCTCATGGTGCGACACACAGAGGTTTGTCTGGTAACTGTGACTTGGAAAAGGAACCAGGTGACAGTGTTTCAGAGGTAGACTTGAGCCAGGCCTCGAGGTGTCCACCTGTGATCACAGCTATTCTGGCGGCTGAGGAAGGAGAATCGCAAGTTTAAGCCCTATTTGGGCGACTTAACAAGACTTTGTCTCAAAAAATAAGATATATAACAGGGTTGGGCATATAGCTAGTGTGTGGTGTGGCTCAGTGGCGAGTCTTGCTCAGCATATGCAAGGCTGTGGGTCGTATGTGGCCATGCTGAGTCCTTCACACACTGCCCAAAAGGATGAGGGACTGTCTGTTTTGGCGTACCAAACAGGAGGATGCTGCCTGGGGCCCTCGGGTTCCCTGTGGCTGTCCTAGGTCCTCCCTGGCTGAGAATCTCCATGGTACTTCAGATGAGGCTCGTGGCTACCTGCCATCTGGCTGCCCTTACACTGTGGGACAGCTGTGAGTGGCCACGGGGTCATACCACACTGGGTTCAAGTGTACTGTGACAGGAGCTGTCTTCTCTCAGGCATCTCTTTGTACCTTGTGTTTATCAGGGTCAGAGGCGGGCCTTGTGTGCACTGTAGTCCCTGCAGGGCTATGCTGGGGCCATCTTCCAATTGAAGATACCTCGGAGAAGGGTACTGCCCCTGCCCTAGGAGATAACATGCTTCTGAGGAAGCTGAGAAGGTGTCTGTCCTTTCCCGGCTTGTGTACCCTTGATGGGTACAACAGGGCTACAGGGTGCCCATGTTGGGGCTGCTTGTGGAGAGCATCTTTTCTGAGGTCAGCAAGACCTGGAGTATTGGAAAGCAGGTGTGATTGTGCCTCTGGCCATTGTCCTTGCGGCCAGCTCCTCCCCCTGCAGCTGGGCTGGCCGCAGGTGGTCTTTCATGAGCTCTGCTGAACTATTGCTGCTCTGCCCTGCTGATGGAAGCTTAGTTGTCTGTGCTGTTTTGGGAAAGTGTTTTTCTGCCACTTTGTCTTGCTTTTCAATTCTTTGGTAGCTGATCTCATAACCAGGGATTAAAAGAAAAATGCTTTCCTGTTTATGTGAACTGTCTCAGAACAGTGAGAGTCCCTTAGATTGGTAGTGTTTGGCTTAGGTTCTGGGGCACTTTGATGGGGGCAGGTGCTGCTGCAGAGGGGGCTGAGAGCCAAGGGAGTCTGTCTGCTCTGGCCAGGGCTCTGCCACTGTGAGCCTGGGCCCCATTCTCGAAGGGTGTCTGGTGCAGCGGACCCATGGAGGGATTTCCTGGGCCTGGATGCTTTCTTCAGCTCCTATACTGATATCATGACACTGTGTGATCTCCCCAGTGACTTCGGGAGAAATGGCTGGTAAATGTGGCCTTGGCCCATGAGGGACATTGTTTGCGAGTGTTTGTGAGTGTGACGGTGGTGATGGTCTATCGGCACAGTATGGACTGAGTCTTCCTTGCGGCATCCTTTGGAAGATGTACAGCTTCTGTTGGGACCTAGTAGGTGGCATGGAAGCCATGTTAAGCTGGGCTGCAGCCAACAGTATAGCCAGGTGCCCAAGAGTTCAGGAAAGCTGCACTTCTCTAGGAGCGCCGTAACTTCCACATGTGGAGTGTGAGTAGTGTGTGACCATGTCCTGCCTCTGTCCATAGAAACTCACACGGGCCCAGTGAAGCCCTAGCTGCCATGACCGCTCCATCTAAACAGCCTTTGGCATAACCCATGATCACCAACTGTGCTGCTCTCTGTCGAGTTTCTGCTGAAGAAGGCCCCTTACTGCTAGGCCTGTGCCCACCTGCGCAGGTCAGCCCTGTCCTTTGGGGCTGTGCCTGCTACAGACTGCAAGCTGGTTCGGCAGGTTTAAGGGAACCTGCGGTGCCCTGCCTTCCCTGGCCATGCAGATTCCAGGCATGTGGCGGGGGAGGTGGAGGTGAGTCAGGGAGCACTCTGCCGGCCTCCCTGCCCGGGAGCCTGTGCCACCCGCCCAAATGCGAGCCTGAGCCCCAGCCAAGCCTGAGCCAGTATCGGTTGGGGTGTGCCTGCAGGCCTGCCCCACTCACCTTAGCATGAGTGACCACATTTTAATTAGCAGCTTTTTAAGCCCATTAATTCTGGCACCGGATAAAATCTTGATACCTTTACTTTCACAAACTCTCCAGAGTGTCCTATAAAAGTAAACAGTTGAGACCAAAATGGACTTTTCTAATTGAAATAGCAGTATCTGATAGGAACATCCAGAGGTGGCTGGGAGGCCACGAGCTCCTGGGGCTGCTAAGCTCCCACAAACTTCTGGGGGTGCTAAGTTCTGAAAGATACAGTGGCTCACATCCCTGATTGCTTGCTGAAGAAATTTGGATTAACTGTCATCCTGCCTCATTGTGAATTTACATTGCTCCTTTTTAATTTATTATTTTTATATTGTTCCTCTTTGACTTACTATTTTTATTAGTGTGTTTGTAGTACAGATTGGTTATATGCACTGTGGGGACTTGGTACACGTGTAGAACACATCTTGGTTCTTTGTACTCCCTCTCCTTCCCCTCCTTTCCCTAATGCTTCGTGTTCTGGTTTGCAAAAGATAGTCTCCCTGTTTTCTATTATCTATCTTAAGGAGTCTTTTAGTCTGATTTTTTTTTTTTTTTTTCCTTTTACACTTTGAAGTTGGGTTGGTTGCTTTTGAGAGCTGATCTTTCCTTAGCCTGGTACACAGACAGCTGGGGGTGGGGCAACTCCAGGAGAGCGGGGGTTTCTTGGAGAGCAAGTTTAGGATGCAGCAGCGGAGATGTGTACTGGGACAACGCAGTGAATGGTGTACATCGTCTAGAAAATTCCTTCCAGCCAGTGATCAAAAGCTAATTTGCAGGAAAGATGGAAAAGGACTGTGCTCAGTTGCCAGCTTGCTCTGACCATTGTTTTTCAGAGATTTCCTCACCTGAAACTCTTTGGTAAGCCGAATCCCAGTTGACGTGGGGTCCCACCCCTGCCCAGGGCAGCTCCTGACTCTCGCCTCCACGGCAAACCGGTCTGGCAGCGTGGGCTGCAGGGGCCTGGGGATTGGTTCAGTGAGATCTCTTCCTCGAGGGCAAGATTGTCCTGAAAAATCAGGAAATGGCAAGCATTGCTCAAAGCTATGTCTTGTTCTCCCTGGGCTTCTGAGGCCCGGCTCAGAGAGAGACACCGCACAGCTTTGTGCTGCCCAGAGAGGCCAGCCCTCATGGTGGGCCACCGTGCTGTGACCCAGAAGTGCTGTGTACTACGTCCCTGCGTGGCCAGGGCTCTGCCTCGTTTAGGGTCCGGGGACATTCAACCAAAGGCAGGGCTTGGCTCATATTTTACTTGAAGTATGTGATTCTCAGTTGGTAAGAAGATGGATGGATAGTGAATTAGTAGTGTCTAGTAGTCAAAGGTTTTTTACGTTAGGATTGGGAGTAAAAACACATTTACTCAGTGTTTGTGAAATCCTGGGTTCATCCTCAACACTGAAAAAAAAAAAAAAAAAAGAATCAGAACAACAGGATGATTTTTCTCAGGTGAAAACAGAGTTTATTTTTGAGTGTTGCAGGATATTGCACAAATAAGAAATGCTGAGCCTCGTGAGCTCTGTTCCTCCCGGAGTGAGGGGAGCTGTGTAGCCTTCTCTGGACTCGAGGGGCCTGGGCCTGTGCTGTGGAGATGCCCAGAGCAGCTCCTGCCCCAGCAGCCTGACCTGCGGCTGGCCTGGCATTTCCTCACCTCCCTTGCGTGGCACAGCCATCCTGCTGGGGCGGTGGAGGCTAGCACCTCAGCAGCCGCGGTTTGGGGAGGTGCGTTCCTGTTTATATATGTAACCAGTATTGTTAAACCTATTTGTATTTGAGACGTACTAGTATTTCTAGACAAGCCAGTTTTGATCTTTACGTGTGAAAGTAGTTTTTAAAAATTGAGTCCAAATCAAAATACTCTCCAAAACCCTGGTGCAACTGTGGATGCACACTCGTCATACTGGGTTAACTTGGAAGCCTGCAGTAATGGGAAGTGGTGGTTCGCAGGCATCATTATGTTTGTCCTGGTCCTATGAAGTCTGGTGACATGTGTGGATGAGGCTGCAGCTGTTTTGAGATGTTTACTTGTAAAGGCAAAAACTGACTCGTGAGTGTGTGTGTGCCGGCTTCCTGCTCAGTCCAGTCCCCTCTGCTTGTCGTCTGCACTGCGCTCCTGCTCTGCGGGTCTCTGCACACCATCCTCAGTTCTCAGGTGTGGCTCTATGGAGGGCACCTCCACTGTGAGTCAGAGCAAGGCCACCTGCTGTCTTTTTGCCCAGATAGCTGCCTGTTCTTAGCAGCATGTTCCCGGTGCCTCTCTGAGTGACAGGCTGCATCCAGACACTGTGGGACGGCTGGTGACCCAAAGCCGGAGTGAGTGGGCTAGTCCTGCAGTGACTGCCTTGGTGGCTAGAGGACTGGCCCCGGGGAGGGGGATCCTTATCTCCATGCCAAGCATAGGGAGAGCTGTGTGGAGGGGAGTGTGTGTCTGGCCCCTTACAGCCCAGGATGGCTGGGCACCACCTAGGGAGCCCTGCTCCCCCCAGATCACATGTGCAGCCACAGAACTGCTTGAAAGAGTCCTAGTAAAAAAGGTGGCAGGCGCTGAGGCCGTGGGGAGAGCCTCAGGGAGGGGGCGATGCTCAGGGGCTCGCCCAGGAGACAGTAGGGGCTCAGCCTGCCTGGCTGCATTGTCCTTGGCTGAGGCCCTGGGCCCGCTAGGTCCTGGCTCTCCGAGTGGCCCAGTGTGCTTTGCAGCTGGAGCTGGACCCTTGCCAGCCTGCCTGGGCGGAGACCGGAGTCTGCAGGCACGGGGCGGAGGCCCTGTCCCGTGGCCCCCTGCCTTCAAAGGGTGGTCAAAGTGACTGATGACTAGGATGCTGCCTCAGGCCCTCGCCAGGGTGAGAGGTGATTTAGGAGTTCTCATTTGCTTCGTCCTCTCCCTGGTTCAGGTTCCAGTATAAAATAATAATCAGGACAGAGGAATGGATGGGAGACTCCAGGAATTCCGTGCGAAGTGTGAACTTTCACAGGGATTACTGAAGCCCACATTTCTTGGTTGATGTTGAATGAAAGCAGAAATTCTTAGTTGATTTCCTTTCCACAGAACACATAATTTTATGGATTTGAAAAAGCAAGGCTATCATTAGAATGTAAGCATAATACTTAGGTTTGTGGATTCTGCGAATGTATTTAGAACACCAGACTTGTGAACAACAGCAAATGCGCAGCTCTCTGTCACTGGAAGCTCACATTTATATAGGTCTGGCTTTAGTGACATCTAAGATTCTGTTCATAGAAGCCATTGTGCGGAATTGAAACAGAAGCTAGACGTTTGTGCTAGGAAAAATGCAGTTTCAAATGAGGTTTTCCCTTCTCATTGTGGCTACCGTTTGTTGTATAGTAAGAGTTTATAGAGAGGAAATAGCTAGTTTTCTGTGGCTAGCTGTGCCAAGGCCGTGAGCAGCGGCTCCTGGCGATGGGAGGGTGAGTCACTGCATCCTGAGAACTGCCCTGGCCCTCGCGAGTGTCAGGCAGCTGGTCTGCAGAACCCCTCTTACTGAATCATTGTGCATCTGATTAAGCCCGTGGCTGTGGAGGCTAGAGGCCTTCTACACTCCCCACCCTGTGAGCTGTGCACTGTTCTGCACGTGTCCCACTGTGTCCTCTCTCCTCTGTCCAGTGTTCCCAGGGCCCTAGAAGCACTCAGCTGCATCTTCTTTGTCCCCTTCACTGTGGTGGCTCCTCCATATTCCTTTGTCTTGAATGACCTTGGGACATTGTTAAAAAGTGACAGTTTTATTGTGATGCAATTCATATACCACAAAACTCACCTTTTAAAGTGTCAAGTGGTGTGGTATTTAGTGTATTCAGAGTTATGAAGCTAGTCTCACTGTTTAATTCCAGATATTCTTTCTTGCCCAACCCACATTTGTTAGAGGCTGCAAGCCATCCACAGTCTGCTGTCTGTCCTGGTGGTGACACCTTGGCAGACCTGCAGAATGACCAGGGTGGGCATTAGAGGCAGTGGTATAGGGCCATGCCTTCTTGTGTGCCATATTGGGGACATGGCCTCCACCAGCACTGGGTGGAGGACCTTGGTCACTTGGAGTTGCCAGGGGTCCACTGGAAGGTGACTGTCCTCTAATCTTGACCGTGCTGGAGGTCCCCCAAATCCCTGCTTCCCCCTATGACTTTGGCCTGTTGCTTGAGCATGCCAGCCAGCTTCTGTCACTGATAGGACACCTGGAGTGATCAGTGTGTGAGAATAAGTTTATTTGGACTTACAGTACTCCTCCCGCCATCCTGGGGATGGAACTCAAGGCTGCATGCATGCTGGGCAAGCGTGCCCCACTGAACTGCTCCCCAGCCCTGCCTTGTGGTTCCAGAGTTTAATCTGTGGGTAGTTGGCTCGTTGCTTTGGACCTATGTCAGCATAGGAGCAGTAGTGGAGAAGGCCTGTTCATCTCACAGGGCGAGAGTGTCTGGGCTCACTCTCCTCAGTGCCTTGCTCCCTCCATTAGGCCCTGGGGGCTCCCCCAGCTCCCTAACATGGCATACATGAGGAAGCCTGTACCATATGTGCCCTGGGGATCTTCTAAGTTAGACCCAATACTGGGCATCCATCCTCTTGCATCCTACTCGTAGCTGTCTTGTGTGGCGTGGGCTGTGTGGCGTGATTTTCTATTCCTCTCTCTGACATCCATGAAGCTCCCTGTGTAGTTCCCCCTCTCTATTCCCTGAGATCACACCTGGAGGGGCTCAGCTGGATGGCTGGGCATGAAAAGGAGAAATGTGGGGAGTGGGGACCTCTGAGTCACTCCTAGTGATTATGTTTGAGCTCCTAATGGGGGACTTCACCAAAGTGGGTTCAGAAAGGCTCCATTCTCCCTAGGTGGTGGTGAGGGCCGACTGCAGCTGCCTTCTGTTCTTGAGAAGTGTTTCCTGGTCACTCCAGTATATGTACATATTTGTTTTGTTTGTTTTTTTTCTTTTGTTGTGTTGCTACTCTGACAAACACTGGAGCAGGTTACTTTTCAAAAAAAAATTTATTTTGCATCACAATTTCAGTCGGAGGTCAAGGCACTGTGTCTGGCATGACCTCTTGCTGGTGGTCCGTGGTTATCACAAGGGGAGATGGAACCAGTGTGCCTGTGCATGCCTGTGTGGCTGTGTGGATGCATGTGAACATGTTTGTGCCCCTGTGCATATATGTCTGGTGCACATGTGTGTGTGGATCCCCATGTGTCTTTATATGCATGTATCTTTTGCACATGCATCCCTTTCTCATAATGCTTGCAGGACTCAAAGGCGCTCCACCCTGAAGCCTGTTTGCTTCCTCATCTCTCATGAGGGCATTTATTGTTGACCCATAAGTTGGGGGTGCTTTGGCAGCTGTGTGCTGGCTGTCTGTGGCTGTGTATCTGTCCACTGTGTGAAGCTCATGCTGTGGAAGGTGTAGGCAGCTGTTGCCCTTGAGCCTGGGGTTAGTCATGTGGCTGGGCTCTGCCCTCCTGTGGCTTTCAGTAGACCTGGGGCTGGCCTACCTTGACCGGTAGGCCACCTCAGGGTGCCTGCTCTGTGTGTGTGTGTGTGTGTGTGTGTGTGTGTGTGTGTATAATATCAGGTAGCCAGGCAGGTTATGAATGAACAGAGGGAGAGGGGCCCCCTGGCGTCCTGTGGCCTGCCTTACCTTGGGTTCCCTTTAATCCGCCTTGTTCTCTTTCCACAGTGCCCTGGTCATCGCAGCAGTATTTGACCGGAATGTGAACTGCAGGAGAGCTGCTTCAGTAAGTGTTTTCATTCTCTCTCTCTGTCCCTCTGTCCCTCTGTCCCTCTGTCCTTCTGTCCCTCTCTCCCTCTCTCCCTCTCTCCCTCTCTCCCTCTCTCCCTTTCGCTCTTCCCTCCTATATTTAGTACAGGGTCTTACTACATAGATTGCACTTGTACTGATTCTCCTGTTTTTCAGCCTCCGAAGTGCTGGGACTCCAGGTGCGTGCCACCACGCCTGGTCTCAGTGTGCCCCGGGGGCGGGCCCAGCACAGCATTCAGGGGATCGAACCCCAGCTGCTGCGCTCTGCCTAAGCAGGTGCTTTAGTCCACTGAGCTCTTTTTTTTTTTTTTTAAATGATAGGAAAGTTTATTGGGGAAAAGGAATGGGGGATAGGAATTCAAAAAAGGAATAGCTCCTGAAATGCCAGATGGGTCCCGAATGAGTTACCAATATTCACGTTTTCACATGCTCTTTCTCCTGGAGGTGTGGCTGGCCCTGACTGACCCTGTCAGGGGTGAGGGCCTCGGTGTCTCACGTGGGGTTCTGGGGCCAGGGTGAGGAGAGTAGGCATTTTAGCAGAGCCAGAAGTTCATTCCCTTGGATCTCCTGGGAGGACAGGTCAGGACTGAGCAGTACTCCCTGCCCCTTCTCCCAGTGTGGCCCAGAAATCCGAGTCAGGGGACAGAGGTGAATGGCCTGAGTCCCATGGAGGAGAGGACAGTGAGTCTTGTGCATCTGTCATGTCAGTAAACAGCCCGTGGGGGTGGGACAGGTTCCCCAGGATGGAACACAGGCACCGGGAGGCAGGACAGACCAAAGGTGGGTGGTGGGCTTGAACCTTTATGATGATCGATGGCCAAGCTGCGCTCTGCTGCATCCACCTGGCCATACTGGGTAGGCCTCACCAGAGGGGCCTTCTTGCTCTTTGGCTTGTGTATGGAAGCTGGGTCTCCAGAGTGCTGAGGGCATTGGGGTAGACTCAAACAAAGGAGCCTTGACAATTTTGTGGTGACCTCAGAGAGGTGCTGGACACATCCTTCTGCCCCGCCACCTGCTTGGGGGCTGCGCTGCATGAGTAGTGAGGTTCAAGTCTCTTTGGGCTTTGGTGGGCGCCAGGCAGAAGAGGCCCTTTGCTCAGTCACATGCACATGTCCAGTCTCCTGTCTCCTGCAGTCAAGGCACAGAACAGGCAGACTCTAGAGCATCCTCACTTTGGCCTTTTTCACCTCGGCTGTCTCTTTCCCAGCCACTGGCAACCACTGTTTGCTCCAGCTCTGTTACACTCTAGTTCCAAGAATAATCCAAGTGCTATCTCTGGCACGTGAGCTTTGAGTTCTGGCTTTTTATTGGACATGTATCCCTGAGGTTTGTCCAGCACTGCAGTCTTTGGTCCCGTCTCTGGCTGTACCATGGTTGGTTTGGCTGTTGAGGCACATGCTTCCTGGTTGTCTTGGTTGCTGCTGGCTCGGGCCTGTTAAGAATGGAGCTTTGGTGTATTGTAATCCCAGCACACTGGGAGGCTAAAGTAGGAGATTACAAATTTGGGTTTAGCCTGGAGAACTTGGTGAGACCCTGTCTCAAAATGAAAAATAAAAAGGACAGGATAATACTCATTGTGAAGCCACTCCATACAATCCCCAGTCCTTGGGAATGGGAAGGGGTGGAGAAAAAGAAAATAAATCTGGTAGACATCTGTGTGCAGGCCTGATGTGGACATGACTTCTCTTCGTGGAAGGCCAGGAGCACGGTTGGTGGGCTGCATCCAGCCTCCATTCTCACAGCACTGGATGTGGTCACTGTGCTTGGCTTAAGCCTTGGTACTGGCAGCATGGGGACTGACTTAGGTTTCTCTGGTGGTGATGACGTGAGCCTCCCTGCTGTTGTGACCTGCTGTTGCTTATTCTCTCTAGTCAGAAGTTTCTGTTTAAGTGTTTTGCCCATTTTCTGGTTGGGTCATTTGTTTTTACTGTTGAGCACTGAGTTCATTCCATGTTCCAGGAACCTTTCCTGGCTGTGTGGATTGCAAATCCTTCAAGCTGTGGGTCAGTCCCCCACAGAGCAGAGTTCAGGTTTCTTCAGGTTGTGCTGCCCATGTCGAGGCTGAGGATGCACCTGTCCTGGTTGAGTCCTGCGCTGCATCCAGCTGCTCGGCCCACACCCTCACCGTTGCTGCCAGTGCGGCCAGGTTCCTTGTCCAGGGCGCGCTTCAACCCCTTTCCTCTCCAAGATTGTTTTGCTGCTCTGGGACTTGGGCTTTTCCTGTTATTCTTTATCTTTCAGATGATGCTACCAGAATAGTAAATGTGTGCTTAAATATTACTCTGTTGGCTGTTTTGCAAAGTGCTTTGGTTTTTTTTTTTTTTTCCTTAAATGTTTTTTATAAAATTTACAAAATGGGCCTGGGGAGATAGCTCAGTAGAATAAGCGCTTGCCAGGGTCCTGAGTTCCCGGTACTGGGAAAAAAAAATTACAAAATGGTAATCAGTAAATATGAAGTCTCACTCTTCCCAATTTAGAAAGTATGGGCAGGTGTGGTGGTGCATGCCTGTAATCCCAGCTCTTGGGAGGCTGAGGCAAGAGGATCACTGAGTTGGAGTCCAGCGTGGGCTACATAAACATGTCCAAGGCCATCCTGACTACATAGTGAGACCCTGTTTTAAAAAAGAGTATATAGGATGCCCCCTGGTGTTTCTGCCTCATCCGGAGGCCCCCTCTGAGGATAGCCTCACACTGTTGAGAGTACTTTGATTGTGTGGGGCTGTGGGCTTGGCTTCTTGACATTCTGTGTGTCCTCTACTGCTCAGGAAGCCTGCCTGTGCTGGGTGGCTGACCGGGCAGGGGGTCTCTCCTGGCCTCACTGGAGTGGCTGACCAGGCAGGGGGTCTCTCCTGGCCTCCTCGAGTGTGGCCCTGGGGCCCTGTGTGCAGTTCTTGCACTTGTTGGACACATGTGCAGCTCTGCTTAGCTCCGTGTGAGGCCCTGTGTCTGTGCCTGTTCCCAGCCCCAGCTGAGGACTCAGCTCTGGCTGCTTTGAGGGAGTCAGTCCTATGTGGTGACAGATAGGAAGTGAGGTCTTGCTGTCACTCAGTCAACTCCTGCCATGCCTGGAGCTTCACCTGTGTGTGGCAAGTTGAAAAGGGAAGCGGCCACCCAGGAGGTGAAGAGGATTTACCATGAAACCTAAATTTAGTTTTTAGTGTTCTTTAAGATCATGCCTTTACATTTCCTTTCTTTCGTTCTTTCTTATGTATCTGGTACAGGGTTTCATTACGCACCTTGGACTAATTGTGATCCTCCTATTTTCAGCCTCCCCAGTGCTGGGATTACAGGCATGTGCCACCGCGCCTGATCTCGGTGGTTGGCTCAGTGCGCCTGATGGCAGGGCCAGTAGCACATGTGGTGCTGGGGATCCAACCCCGGTCCCTGTGCTTGCCTAAGTGGGTGCTTAGTCTGCTGAACTATCTTGCTGGCCCAATTTTTTTTTTTTTTATTTTTATTCAAGGTTTTTTTTGGTGGTATTGGAATTGAACATAAGACTTCTAATATTGATCTATATTCCCAACTTAAATTTTTTCTTTTTTTGCGGAACCGGGGATTGAACTCAGGCCCTTGTACTTGCCAGGGAAGTGCTTATTCCACTGAGCCATCTCCCCGGCCCCTTAAAAAATTTTTGAGGCAAGATCTCAAAAGTAATTCTCTTGCCTCCATCTTCCAGAGCCCTAGTATTATCAGTGTGCACCTCCATTCCAGCCAGATAAGGTTTTTGCAGCCCCTCCCAGCACCTAGTATGTACAACTTGGCTCCCAGGGAGCTGGTGGGAGAGGCTGGTGGGACTGGGGCAGTGCCCACAAGGTAGCCACAAGGGGTCTGTTGCAAGTAGTGGCCACAAAATTCCCTAGGGACAGCCTTGTGCATGGTTAGCTTTTACTTAACCCACCTGTTTGGCTCTTTCTTTGTTGGGCTCTGGGGCCTTATCCTGGACTCTAGGGCAAAAAGCTGCATTCTCAGTCAAAGTCTACTTTTTTTGATGTCTAATTTTATAAATTGGATTCTTAAATCATGATGTTAAAGGACACCAGGATGCAAAGACAGTGACAAAGGACCATAGGGGCCCTGTGCAGCCAACAATGAAGGCTCTTCACATAGAAAATGAAGCCATGGGTCATTTGCACTGCTCTGTGTTTGTTTTGAATCTGTCTGTGTGTTCATAGAAGTAAACCTCACTCACCTGCTCTCTTTGTTCTTTCTCTCCTCAGGCTGCCTTCCAGGAGAATGTGGGGAGACAGGTATGGCTGCTTTGTAAACCTTGCTTCCTGAAACTTCCTGTAGCTTTGGAGGTAGGATCTTGAAAGCTGTGAACCTGGTGTGTTACACTGTTGGATATAGTGAAGAATTCACCTCAGGGGTAGCTAAGAAGCACAGCCTCAAGCCCAGAGCCCGCTGGAGAGCTCTAGACACTGACTCACCTGCTCCAGGATCTCCACAGCTGGGTACTTCATGCAGGTCTGGAGTCTTCTTACGCATCCCTGGGGCTGCCATGTGGCAGGTACCCTAGCACGGCAGAGGAGGCCTGGCCCCTTCCCAGCCCACATGGTATCAGCCTTGGCCTTGCCTTCTGGGAGCCTGGGCCCTATGACACTTCCATGCTCACCAGCATCAGAGCTGTGTCCTGTGACCCTGGGACCTGCACACGCAGGAACTGGATACAGGCCTCCATGTGATGAGACATTGACTCACTGGGACATGTGGTCTGTTTGTCCAGGCCTTGGTGTGGTGAGGTCCGGCCTGAGAACAGACAAGAGACTGGATTGACCAGGTCTGGGTTGTATAGAAGCTGCAAGGATGGACCTAGATGGGGAGTAGGATCCCTCCTAGAAACCCTGTGAGGAGGGTTGGACAGGGTGATTGTGTATCCAATTCTAAGGGCTCACAGTGCCACTACCTGAGGAAAGTGGAGGACCCGGCTGTATGCAGGTGGGAGGGAAGTCAGGCTGAGGTACATTCTAGGTAAGGAGAGGATAGGTGGATGTCCTGGGGGAGACTGAGCAGCCTGAAGCGCCCTAGGCTGATGCTCACACTGCGGGAAGAAGTGGGTCAAGGGTGGCCTCTGGGCAGGGTGTAGGTGCCAGAAAAAGCAAGTGGTGTGCAGACAGTGGCCTCTGTGTGGCGCATGGTATGTAAGTGGGCAGCCTCGGATTACAGCCAAGGTCCAGATAGGTGTTGCTGGGTGTGGAATGTGGGGATGCAGGGGCTGCTGAAGTCTCTTGTTCGGGGTCTTTGGCTGGCATGGGTAGGAAGCAGTCTGGGGTTGCTGGTTGTCTGCTGGGATGCCACAGCTGGCTAATAAGCAGATGCCAGGCCACAGGGTAGCATTCATTTCTCCTCAGCCTTCATGGGCTTTGGTGTCAGTTTATTTTCCTGGGGGTGGCACCCAAAACCAGTGATTTTCAAACTCAGCAGGTGGCAGAATGACCTGGAATTTGGGGTGTGATAGGATAGGGGCTGAGAACAGATCTTTCCTGGAGGCCCTGGCCAGCAGGAGCCAGGCACGGCTCAGCCAGCCATCCTTCATCATCCATCCATCCATCCATCCATCCATCCATCCATCTATCTATCTTCTTCCCCTCCCCCTTCCCTCCCCCCCAACATTCCCCTTCCCTCCCCTTCATTTCCTTTCTTCCTTTCTTTCCCCAGGAATCAAACCCAGGACCTTGTGCTTGCCTGACAAGTGCTTATGCCACTGAGCTATCTCACCAGTCCTTAGCCATCTTTCTGCTTGAACTGTAGTGTCATAGCAGGAGGATTGTATATGGGTTCTTCTTCTATCCTGCTGCTCTGCCTTCCCACACAAGCAGGCCTCTTAGGTCTTGCAGGGCCCATGGCACCTGCCTTTGCTGGGGTGACTTTCTGTATCCTGCTTGTGCTCTTTTGAGTTCCAGCCTAGTGAGCCCCTGCAGGGTGGGTGCAGGAGAGCGGGGAGCTCCCTGTGGCCTGGATGCCCTCTCTCCAGGTATCCTGATTGTGAGGGACCCCCCAGGACTAAGTCCCACTCCTGGGATTTGAAGGAGATATGGGGCCCACTTGGTGGTATCCTGGCCAACACCACAAGGAGGAGAGTTCCCTTCAACCTTTGAGGGTAGCAGGCGACCTTGGACTGGGGAATTTGCTGGGTATCTTGTGCTTTGTTCTGTTATAAATGTGGCTGGCCAGTGTCTATACTTGACCAGACACTGTGGAGCAACCTGGAGCATGCTGCCACCTCCCATGCTGTACCTCCCAGAGCCATGAAGGCCTTCCAGGGAAGGCATCCAGCTTAGGGTGGATCATTAAGGCCACAGCGATGCACACAAGGACAGCAGAGTCACTTGGAAGGGTGGACAGAACTGGAAGTCATGAAGGCCATGTCCTCTGTGGGTTGAGCAACTGAGAGGGCAGACTCTTGCTGTGCAGCACTTGGGCTTGGCCTGTGAGGTGCTTGGATTTTGTGCCACTGTCTGAAACCTATGTGTGGCAGGGGTTACTGAAACAACTGGGGAGTGACAAGGCCATCCCACGGCATTGGCCAGCTTCTCTATCTAAGTCTCCTGTGATGTTGGTCCTGATGCCTGAGCCAGCTGCATCCTTCCCACTTGTCCAGCCAAAGTGGGGCAGTGGCCAGTGGGGCTCCCTGGGAGGAGCTCTTGCTGTCCCCACTGGGCTCAGAGGGTCCGTGTGATTAGCTCACCTAGGCCATGCCTGAGACACTCTCTGAGGCCTTTCTGTCCTATTGTAGTTGGTAGCTGGAGGCTATGTCAGGATATAGCTTTTCGTGTTACTGTTTTCTTAAAGTCATTCATATCATTTCTAAATTTTTCAAATATTTTTACCAGTCAAGGCTGTCAATAGTAATGCACAGACTCTCGAGTCCTGCAGGGAGTGTGGCAGCACTGGCCTGTCCCCACACTGGTGGCCCCAGCCACTGTCCCTGCCCCCACTGCGTGCTGCCCCCATTGCTGCTGGTGCCAGCTGGATCAGCTGCTTCTATCACTCCCTTGCCATTCTTGGCAGGGCAAGGTTGAGCTGTGGTCTGGGTGTCATGCCCACGAGGCACTTGCCTTGTGCAGAGGCCCGCCATGGCCAGCCTGCTCTGGACTGAGCCCAGCGAGGCCTCTGTGTTCACTGGGATCACGTGCACACTGAGATCAGTCACATCCACACTGCCGAAATCTGGTGTCTTTAAAAAGAACGATCTTTTACAACATTTTGAAGCTGACATTTTAAAATCATTTGAACTGTAATTCATATGGACTGCCTTAGATGATTGAGCAGTGCCTGACCTGACCTGAGTGTGGGTGTGTGGTCCCTGGCTTTTGGGATGCCTTTACTTAGTCAAATTATCTCTCACCTTCTTTCTTTAATTTCACCAGGGTACCTTCCCTCATGGAATCGATATCGTGACCACAGCAGACTACTTTGCAGTTGGCAACACCGCTAACTGTTTCCTTGTTATAAGGTGAGATTTTAGTATGTGCCATAAAAACACAATATTCTCTTTCATGTTAGATGTCAAAATTTAATTTTGACCATTTTCTCTGTTCATCTTGGGATGAGTGTAAATACAGTGGATGTGTGGAGGTGGAAGGTTGGCTGGAGGCAACCTGGAGGAGCGTGCGCTGAGCCTGTGATTCCTTTGCCGCTTGCTGCCTTCCTGTCAGGGGTGAGGCGCTATGTGAGGCATGCTGCTGTCTTCTCCTGCTCAGCAGATCTGGACCAGACAGTTTCTCCTGTTTCTCTTTCTGTTGCAATAAAGAAAAGTGTTTCAAAGTTGAAGTTGTTGGGGCTGGAGAGATGGCTCAGTGGTCTAAAGCACCTACTTGGAACAAGCTTGGCAAAAGCACAGGGACCGCGGTTCAATCCTCCAGCACCACATGCCAGCCAGCCGTGCCCCCTGGTGGGCTGAGCTGGCCACACACACACACACACACACACACACACACAATAAAATGTTAAAATAAAAACAAAGTTGAAGTTGTGTGGCCACATTGTTTATCAGATGAGTTAAGAGAGAGGTATTTGAGAAATCAGGTGGAGGAATAAGGCTGAGGAGCAAATTCTGTGATGTCCCATTCTACGTGACCTAAGGACTGGGAAAATTTCTTCCCTTGCCTTGTTACCCCATTGCAGCACTCACGTCAGCAAAAGGGGCATGATGTTACAAAGTGCTGCATTCCCTCAAATTAGGAGAAACATGCCTGGCACATTTATCAAAGTTCCTGACCATCTACTGTCCCGAAGCTAGGTTCTACAGCCTCGCTGTGTAGACTGCAGAAAGGACATTTCTCCGTAACTAGCTTTGATTAATTTTTAAAAACTGCATGCCTGGTCCTTTCTCAGGAGGACACTGGCCAGATCACCCCTTCTTGTCTCCCGTAGTGTTTGTGTCCTACTGCCCATCAGGTCTTTCCTCTCTCCTTCTGTTTCTTTGGCTGTTGGCTGTCTGCTGTGCATGGAGAGGCCACCCTTTCCCCAGGCTTCTTGCTGAAGTAGCTGGCAGCTTGGAAAGGTGGTCTGTTTCTTTCTGGCTGTTCTTTCCCAGTGGGTTCTGCACCGTCGCGAGGCACAGGCCTGTGTGATCCCCCATGGGTTTCTTGACTGGGACCCCTCTGCCTGTGGTCTTGTTGCATGCCTAGGCCTGGGTGAGAGTGGCAGGAGGACACATGGCTCACAGAGGACAGCTGCCGAGGAAACCAGTGGGATCGGGGCTGGAGAGATGGCTCAGTGGTCTAAAGCACCTACTTGGAACAAGCTTTGGCAAAGCACAGGGACCGCGGTTCGATCCCCCAGCACCACATGCCAGCCAGCCGCGCCCCCTGGTGGGCTGAGCTGGCCACACACACACACACACACACACACACACACTAAATAAATGTTAAAATAAATAAATAAATAATTAAAAAAAAAAAAAAAAGAGTGTATCTGAAACCAGTGGGATCAGGGCTGTTTCGCTGACTGGAGACAGAGGAGGGTGACTGGGCCCACCAGGCAGGGGCTCATCAGGCAGTTGAGCTGTGCCATGCAGGGGGAGGGGGGGAAGAGCTGCCCAGTGGGGCTGGAGAGGCTGGCATGCTGCTCTGCCCGTGCGCAGATTGGGGGCTCTGTGTAGCTCCCTCGGGCACAGAGCCAGGCTGCTAGAGCAGTGGGGCTTTTGGAAAAGAGGTACTCTGCTACTTGGACCAGAGTTGACACCTACTGGAGGCCCTCAGGGAGACCCCAGGAGACTCCTGCAGTTGTCCGCACCACATCACTGGCCTCGCCCTTGCCGGGTGCTGGTGGTGATGCAGCATGTGCAGGTGCAGCGTGTACATGTTGATAAATCTCCATGAACACAGACCTGTCACCGTGGTGCAGGCAGCAGAGGGCTGTCCCTGTCCCCATCCATGCTGCTGTTCATGTTCCTGGGCATACAGGTTTGTGAAGATGGCGTTTTCTGTCCGCTGTGCTTGTCCCACCCACTTGCTGCACCCGTGTGGGAGTAGTCCATGCCCTGGGCTGGTGTTGGATGCTGTCTGTCCTGCTGCGGGCGATCCCTTGTGATGGGCGTGGTCCAGGCCAGCGTGTATGGTGAGGCCCATCTGTCCTTCGCGCCATGCTTGGGTGTGAGAAGAGGTACTGGCAGTCTCTTGTCTGTGTGTCTCGTGGGCTGCTGGTTTTCTTAGCATTTGGGGACCTTCTGGCTTCCGGACACAGTTCCTCTCAGATGCTGGGCAGTGTCTTCTCCTTGTCTTTTCTGTGTCCTATATGCTTCTGTACAAAAACCTTTTTAAAAAAGGCTTTGCTTTTATATACATTTCACTATAGGTAGCTCATGTATACTAAAATCACCCATTGTGGATGTCCATTTCGGTGTGAGGTGGGTCTGGCCGAGTCTGCAGTAAAGTGACCACCATGTGATCTGCGTAGAGAGTGTCCTTCTTTCAGGGAGCTGTTTGGCCTCATCCCTTTGCCATGAAACATTAGTTTCCTGAGTCCATGAGTACCCTGAAGACTTGGTGGTGGGGAGTGAAGAGCTAAGAGCCGCAGTTCGACTGAACTCTGGGAGAAACAGCTTCTTGGTTGACAGCTCCTCATTTCAGTGGAAATGGTATGACTAAAACTGGCTGCTGCTGCTCTGGAGGATCCCCGGGAGGGACGGTTGTGTTGATTGTGGTCTGTTGGAGTTTGGGTGCTTGAGGGGCTATCAGTACTGGGCCCTGCTCCTTCTCTGACTGGTTAGATATGGTCTTTGGCCACTCCTCAGAAGTCATATAGGCAGCTCAGTGCCTTGGAAAGGGATGCCTTGGCCACTGGCCCAGAGGATTAGCCCTGAGTACCTGCAAAAGTGGTGAGAAGACAGCGGGGAGACGTTGGAGAGGACACGACAGCTACCAGCAGAAGCCCAGTTGTTGGCTTTGTAGTGGAGGGTCGGGCCTCTCACCAGGACCTATGGTGTCGCACCCATGTCATACTGTGTCCCCCTTTACTCCTAACAGTCTCCATGTCTGCACTTGTGCCTGCATGTCCCCGCCCTCTAGTGGACACTCCTTGTTTCATTCACAGGACCTTGTGTGTTGGCAGCAAGTAGGACTTTGCTCAGGTCAGGGCTGTTGCAGGTGGAGCTAGGGCCAGGGCACCAGCGGCTAGGTCCCCACCGCTCTCAAGTGGCCTGGTGTCCACCTGCCTCCTGCTGCGTGGCTGCGGTCACCTGCCTTTTCCTCTGGGTCTTGTACCTTGCCATATGCTCCAGGCCTTGTCAGTTGAGCAGATGAATTGTGTGGTGCTGTATGGCCTGGTTTTTTGGTGACATGGACACTGATAGCTTGCTGAGAAAGGCCACATTGGTCTCCTCCGTGTCTCCAGCCCTGTCCCAGTGTCCTATTCTGGAGCATCACATTCTGCTCAGGAGAACTTGAGTTTGTGTTTTCTCTGCCTGCATCTAGGAGCCTGTCCTGTGCACATCCAGGTGAGACGCTCTCGGTAGCCCCTTGGGGCAGTGGGCTCCATCCAGTCTTTTCTAGACAGTATGCAGTGTGTTTATTTATGTCTGAAAGGGTCACCCACCATTGGCATTCTGACCAGCGGGAGCTTGGGCTTTGTATTTCCTAGTGTATGTGATCGCTGTCCACAGAGGCTGCCCCAGGCCCTCCTAGTCCCTGGCCGGTGGCCGCGGGGTAGATAGGCAGCCCCTGCTGTCCCTTCCTGCAGGAAGGTGGCTGTCAGCTGCTTCAGAGGCAAGGTGGTGTGAGCTGCTTGCGAGGACCTTGCTTGAGACCATGATGTCTGTGTTGGTTTGGAAGACCCCTGTGTCTTTTAAAGAATCTAGGACAGGGCCATTGCAGATACTTTTCCTGGGTTTGCTATTTGCTTTGCTTTGCTTTTTCAGTGTGTCTTCCCTGGCAGATGTTTTTCTTTGGGAGTTTGTATTTGAATCTGTCAGCGTCCTTCATGGCTCTGGGTTTCAGTCGTGGTTTGGAAAGCCCACCCACTTGGAGGTTAATTTTCAAGCTCTCCCATATTATTCTCAAGAGATGTAACTTTATTTTTCTGCAGCCTGGTACGTGTTTGGCAGGCACTCCATCACCGTGCTGCCTACGAACTTACACTTTCGGGCACTGTTTGTGCTCTACCTCGTGAGCTGGGTGTTGTGTGGCTCGGTGCATACCCGGGCCTGGGCCTGGGCCTGGGCCTGCCTGGGGATCTTAGCTTGCAGCTTACCTACCCAGCACTGACCGCCTCCTCTGCCTGCTCTCTGGGTCCTAGAAGTGTAGTCAGGGAATGCATGCTCTTTTGAGATCCGAATGCTTCTGCCCCAGCAGTGGCTGATGACCCATTGTGCTGTGAAGTGGCCTGTTTGTTGCTGTGGAGTGTGCTGTCTGTGACCTTGTAACTCAGCTGTTGGTTGGTAGCTAGGCTTTTCTAAATTTTTACCTTTTATGAAAATTGACGTAGAAGTCTTTATGAGGGGGTGTGTTTTCATTTCATATAGGTAAAGACTTAAAAGGGATTGTCGGCAAGTTAACTGTGTCAGAGACTGCCAAGCTGATGGTGTGTGCAGTTTGAACTCCTTAGTCTCCGGACTCTGGCCCTGTCACTGTCTCAAGCTTTTGGCTATGGTGGACACAGGGGCTCCCTCACTCCCTGCTGAGGGCTGGCTGGACTTCCTAAGCGTCTCAGCTTTGTGTTTGTCTTTTATGGTGTTTCTATAAATATCTAGGCAAGTTTTTCATTTGGGTTTATCTTCCATATGTATTTATGTGCAAGTTCCTTGTTATTTTTGTGTAAGCCAAGGTCTCTCTTTCCAGTGTGAGGCCTCTATCTCCTTACTGCTTTCAGCAGCTTTCCTGAGGCATAATTGCTCCCACATGCCCTGCACAGAAAGCGTGTGGTCTGCTAGGTTACCACAGGTCCGTGCCCGTGGAGGCTCAGTGACCACTAGGGTGGTAAACATGCCGTCACCCATGGACTCCTAGTGACCTGCTTCTGCTGTTCGTATGCTTTAGAATACTCTGGTTCTTCTTCATATCACATAAATCCTTTATCTTGAATGCTTTAGAATTTTGTATGAAAGGGAATAAAATAGTACACACTGGATTTTGGCTGTGGAGGCTGAGGCCTTGCATGGTGGCAGCTGCCCGGGGGTGCAGGCGTCCCCTCTGCGGTGCCTGGGCACACAGCTGCCTGTGCTTGGTACGTGTGGAGAAGCCCTTTCCTTTCTTTCAGCTGTGTAGGATGGGAATGGCGGATCATCTGGTAGATGTCTTAGTTTAGAGGAAATAGCCTATCTGCCTCCACAGGTGTTTGCTCTATTGCATGTCCTCACATGTAGCCTGTGAGGGCTCCCTCACCCCACATCCTCATGCCTTGGTCTGGTCTCTTTCAGCGTGTCCATTGCCAGCTTCTCCGAGTATACCCAGCCAATGATCGACCACCTGGTTGCCATGAAAATCAGCCACTGGGACGGGTAGGTTGCGGTCCTTAGGACCCTGGTTTTCTGCGGGAGAGGTAAAATCGGACTGATGAGCTGTGAATGTCTTTTCTCACTATAGGTGCCATAGTTGAAAATAGCTTCAGTAAAGAAGTGTAGTCCTAGCCCCTACCCTGGCCCATTGGATAATGGTCTTTCTGGCCCTCAGAGTCCCGGATGGGTGGGTCTGCAGGACCATGCTCCCCTGCCAGTGCCCTAAGTCCCCATGTGTCACTGAGGAGGCCAGGGCCTGCAGACTGAAGCTGCCCCAGGCCCCAGATTCTGCTCCACCCACCACTGCGTGGCTCCTGTGTGGTCTCTGCAGAGCTGAGCAGACCTCTGCGGCTAGTTTTGTAATTACAGTAGCGGGTTGGGGTATCTTGGCATTTTATAGGAAGCTAAATATGCCTCTGTAAAGAGGAAAGCTACGTGTGCAATTCAGAACACATAGGGAGCGTGAGTGCTGCCGGAACCCCAGGCCAGCGTGTCACCTCCCCTTAGAAGACGTAGGTGCAGCTCCAAGTTGCAGCAAAGGCCTTAAGGTGCTGCTCTGAGTCTCAGTGTGAGCGGCGTGCTCTGTGCAGGGGGTTCTTTGTGGCCAGTGGGGAGCATATTTGGGCTTCTCTGGGGACCAAAGGCTTGAACATAGCCACTCTGGCCACCACACAGAGCGGCTGTACTGTGTGGTCTGGGCAGGACCTCCTGACTGGGAGCTTCTGGCCAGATCTGCTGTCACTTGAGCTGGCTGTGGCCTTCTCCAGCGGGCGTCTGTCTGGGGCTGCCTGCAGCAGGGTGCCCAGTGCACTCTGGGGCAGAGACCCTGTCAGTTCTCTTCTGACAGGGCAGCAGCCAGGATCACACAGCTGCAGCCCCCACGTGAGCTGAATTTCTGAGCTGCTGAAATTTCTGACTGTTTTATCTGTTTCTTGCTTAAGTTTTGACAGTTTTTCCTTCCTGTATTTTGGGTGAGGGTCTTTTATTTGACATATACGTTTATAATTCTGTGTCTTCCTAATATATTGGCCTTGACAAGATGACTGCTCCTCCACACTTTGTGTCAGATTTTAAGTGCAGTGTGGTGCTGTGCAGGCTGGCTGCTTTCACTTTAAAGGGCCTCGTAGTAATATCTCAAGTCTCCCACAGATTTTACTGTTTTTTCTTCACACATCCCTTTAAAAGTGAGAAACAGTCCTTCCTAAGGGCCTTCAAGAGAGCAGCCTCACACGGGGTTTGGCCATCTGGTCGTCGATGTCTTCCAGCAGTAGCGGGCACTGGCATCTCTTTCCCTTTGAGGCGGAGAATATTCTGCTCATGTGTCTGCCGCGTTGTATTTATCTGCATCTTTCCACGACCTGCTTAGTTTCCACCTCCTGCTGTTGTGAATGCGGATGCGCAGACACCTCTTTGCAAGTACGTTTTCCCCCCCACAGGGCCATCCGAGAACTGTCAGCCAAGGCACTGCATCGGCTCACCCCACAAGCACCTCAGTACTTCGCCACGCACGGTAGGTGTGCCCACTGGCCCGCAGCCCCCCACCCCCCCCGCACACCCGCATCTGCATGCACACTCACAGCAGAGACAGGCTGAAGGTGACATCCTGCTTGGCTCATGCTAGACTTAGTTAGGGATGGTGTGCAGATGGATGAGGCGTGCCCTGGGAGCAGCTCAGAGGTAGCCGAGCAGGCTGTGGGGTGCAGACTTAGGAGCCACGTCACTTTCCAGGCGGCTGACCTTGTGTGTCAGCACGTCTATTGGTGTCTGTCTGGAGACTGGCTTGGCCTCAGATTCAGGGTCTGCCTTACGTGACAGCCACTTCAGGGTATCATGGCATGGTCTGCCTTTGCTTGCCTCTCCTGGGAAGAGTGTACGCTGGTCTGTCATGTGGTATGAGCATCCGACTCAGATGAGTGCCTGAGAAGACAAGCTGCTCTGTTTTACAGTGCTCCCTGCCCTGCTGCCCATGACGCTGAGTCCAGATCTGCACATGCGGCACGGCGCCATTCTTGGCTGTGCAGAGGTCACCTACGCCTTGTACAAGCTGGCAGTGCAGGGGGACAGGTAGGGGATACTGCCCCCCACTGGTCTGTGGGAGGACATGGGGTTGAGGTGATCCCGAGTGTGGGTGGCCATAGGGTTATGGTGATCTCAGGTACAGGAAGCGTTGTGGCCTTTAGTTCCCACGTTTTCCTTTGAGGCCTGCCAGTGCCAGGAGCACCCACACACCCCTCCGAGGGGGCTGTGTGCATCCTGTGTCTCCCATGGCTGGGAGGGGATGTGCTGTGCAGTGAGAGCCAGCAGCCTGTGTAGAAGGGTCTGGAGGGCTCAGCTCTGCCTCCTGCCTCCTTCCTCGCTTCTACTAACCTGTGGTCCTGGAGCATGTGTGATGGGGAGTTTCCCTTGGAGACTTCCTGGGAGGCTGTGTTTGTAGGATGACAGCAACGCCATCCCCAGACCATGGCGGCCTTATGGGAACGATGTTCCAGGAGCTGCTTTCTTACTTTGCTTTCCAGTAGGTTCCTCTCAGAGAACTCAGGGGCACACTGTGCCACTTGTGAATGGCTCCTGGCATCCAGGTTGAGAGGAACTATGTGTCACCCTGTCCCACAGACTAGCCCCAGAGCACAGTGCACAGCAGTGGCTTTGTGGGTGAAGTGGGTACTGGTGTCAGTGGCCTTGTGTCTGTGTGTGGGAGGAGGCTCATGGCAGTGTCTTGTTCTCGCCGCTTGGTAACAGGGCATATGTTGCTCCCTGGTGATAACACAGGGAAGCTGGGGAGCTCCCCAGGGCTGGTGGCACAGGAAGCTCATAGGCTTCCAAGAGGAAGGCCTGAGGACTCAGTGGCCGCTTATATGTGGCTCTTCTCCCAGTCATGTGGGAACTCATTTCTGCTGGTACAGGGTCATAACCAGAGCTTATAGGAGCACCCTGGTGCTTCCCCGCAGTTAGCCAACCTAGGCAGCCCAGAGGGACTAGGGACCAGAGGGACCTGGGCAGGGAGCAGACCTTTCCGATCTTTGGCAGAGGACTTGAGGGCTGGGTCCCCACGCCTGTGATTTCAATGCTGTGTTTCACCTTCTGTAGGTCACTCACAGACTACCTGGATGAGAAGGTGGTGCAGGGCCTGAGGCAGATCCACCAGCAGGTTTGTGTATGGCCTTCCCGCACGTGCTCTTCCATGGGGCCTGTCCCCCTCTCTCAGCCCCAGGGGCTGCTATTCACCTTCAGCTGGCTCCACATCAGTGGGGTAGGGGTCTCCCCTTTGGCACACTCTGCAGCCAAAAGTGTAGGGGTCCATCAGGGGAAGGGAGGTGGGTGCAGACCTTCCTGTGCAGCCAGGCTGCATGGTGGCATGGTACCTCTAGTGGGTTGCAGGAGAGCTGTACTGCCCCCTAAGTTCCAGTCCTCTGGCCTTTGTGTGTGTGTGTGGGTGGCCTGGGTGTTCTGCAGAGACACGTACCTGTGGACTGGGGAGGGTACTGTGCACAAAGACCCTCGCTCTGCGCCGGTGCCTCCACAGCCAGAGCTCAAGTCTCTGCAGTTCAATCCAGAACTGTGTGTGTGGTTGTGTGTATTTCTTTGCGGAGAAGGTGTGTGTGTTTTTCTGAGTTAGATTTTCAACACCTTCTATGACTCAAGGTAAAGTCTTATAACATAGGAAAATTTCAAAATTCCTAAAGTCTGAAATGGTTCCACTGTCTGTTCTGGATAGTTTTCTTTTCTGTTCTGGTCTTTCTTTTTTTTTTTTTTTGCTTTACCGGGGATTGAACTCAGGACCTTGCGCTTGCCAGGCAAGTGCTTATTCTACTAAGCTGTCTCCCTGGCCCTGAGATAAGAGTTTTCTAGTCTTGATTTGTTTTGTTCTTTGAGAGAGAGTCTCACTATGTTCCAGGCTGGCCTTGAACTTCCTGTTAGCCCAAACAGGCCTTGAACTGGAGATTCTCCTGCCTCAGCCGCGCAGTACGTTGGGATTACAGGCATAAGCCACGATGCCGGACAGGTTTTTTATTATGGCTTCATATAGTGATGGCCACTTGGCCTCTGGTCCTCGTCCTGTTCATGCTATTAACTTATGTCCAGTTTGCCTGTGTTTCTTGCTTGGGGGGCTCCTGCGTCCTTGTCCAGTGCCAAGGTGAGGGTTAGCCCAAGGCAGCAGCTGAGAAAGTACGGCTGCTCAGTCTTCCAAGCAAATGTGTCCCATTTCTATGAAGCTAGGTGTTAATAGGACTAACACCTTTGGTTTTGGTGAGAATTTAAAAATCCATTTAAAGGATTTGGTAGAGTTTCTGGCAGTGCGTAAGCATCTGCAGCCTCGAGCTGAAGTGGTAATGACAGTGTTGTGCATGCTTTTCAGTTCTGTTGAAGAAAGCAGCATGGGAGTCCTCGCGGCATGATCGGCTCTCTGCCTGGGAGGTTCCGCGGAGGTGCTCAGCAGCTGCTCGTGGCTCTCATCCTTCGCTCTGTGCCCACTTGAAGGGGGCCCAGTAGAGAGGGATCTGCTCTGTAGTTCTCAGGCCTGGGCACCCAGTTCTGTGACTCTGTCACTGTCTCTGTTGATGCTCATGGGTATTACCTAGAAATTGTTACTTTAAAACTCCTAACTACCTGAATAACTAACTTCCCGTTCTTTGTTTCTAGCTCTCTGACCGTCACCTGTACAGGTAAGCTCCCGAGCTGAAGTTCTCTCGAGCCAGGTCTCAGTGTCACGCCGTGGGCACCAGCTGCTGGCCTGGGCTGGGCTTGGCATAGCTGAGTCCAGCTCAGCCTGGGGCCATCCTAGCCATTGTGTGCTCTGTTTACTTTGTTTGAGGAGGTATGATGGTCACTTAGCTTGAGGAGCAAGGGTGTGAGCGTCCTTGGCCTGGAGGTCGTGGGTGTGGTGCTTCTCCCATGCTGCCTTGTCCTGTTTCCTGCCAGTGGGAGCACGCAGCGTGAGCCTTTCCAGTCTGTCTTAGCTGAGGCTGTTGTATTGAAATTCACACACACTGCTCATATGCCGTGTGCCATGTCCTTCCCATGCAGCCGGAGCTGCCACCTCTGTGGCATCCTGTAGTCTCCCCTGTGGTGAAGTGGGCTGTTCAGATGCTCATTGCGTGACTCTTACTGAGCCGGCAAAGCTATTGATGTGTCCTACTTGAGCTCTGCATCAGGTGTGGGGTTCGCCCACGTTTGCTCTTGCTTTGTGGTGATGAATGGACAGCCAGGTGGCAGTACTCGCTTTGGTCCTTGTGGTGTGAGGACTAGCTGGTGTCACCTCACCCATTCCTCACCGGGAGCATTTCTTTCTAATGAGGTCTTCTAAAACTCTTTCCATTCCTGCTTTTGTTATAGCCTTTTCCTGAGCCTGTCCAGGTTTAAGTAAAGTTCCTTAAGATTTTACTGGCGTAAGTGCCTAATGGAATAGAAGTGATGCCGAAGAGTATTCGAGTTTACTTAGCAGGGGGCTGGTGGAGTCTGTGGAGTCTCGCGTTGACCAAGAAGTGGGCACTGTGCTCTTGGAGCCCAGCCAGAGGCTCCTCGTGTGGCAGTTGCAGGTGACGGTGCACCCCACTGGGGGTTCTCTAGTACGCTGGGATTACAGGCATATGCCACGATGCCAGCAGGGTCAGCAGAGTGAGAGGTTCAGGAGGGGGGTGAGCAGGAGTGCGCTCCTGGGTGCGCGTGCACCTGGAGCCTGGGTTGCCTCATCCTTCAGCCCAGACACCGGGGAAAGAGAAATGGGAAGACTTGCATTCTGCAATTGCTGTCCAGCAGACTAATTTAAAACTTTAGAGTAATAATTTGCATATAACAAAGCTTGACTGACACAGTTCTGTGACCACCCCGTGAAGGAAATGAGGAAGTTCCCATTGCCCTGCACTGTCTACATTCTGTCTCTGAAGTTTAAAATTTTATTCTTTTTCTAATTTAGCAGCTTTTCTTTGCAGATTGTGCTTTTCAAAAAAGATCCTGAAGTTCACTGTGTGCTTCTTTATTTCTCCCTTCGCCCCCGTGCCCTTTTCAGACCTACCGGGGTGGGATGGCTGTAGCAATGCCCTCGTGCACATATTCCCCAGTGTGGGCACTTCTAGGCCTCGTTTTACTGACTCTTTTAGCTCTGGCCATGCTGTTCATGCCATCCTGGGAGTTTTCTATTAGATTCCTTCCCATCTTGTGGAATTGTAAAATCCAAGACTGGGTTTTGTTACAGCCCTTTTTCTTTTTCTTTTTGAGTTTTGAGACTGTGTCTCTGGCAGATCTCTTTCTCAGCCTCCTGAGTCGCTAAATTACAGGCACATGCACCACGTCCAGGATGGTTTCGTATTCCTCTTTGTGTGTGTGTGTGTGTGTGTGTGTGTGTGTGTGTGTGTGTGTGTTTGAGACAAGGTCTCAGTCTCACTATGCAGTTCAGGCCGGTCTTGAATTCACTCTGTAGCCTAGGATGGTCTCAAACTTACAGTGGTCCTCCTGCTTTTGCCTCCCAAGTGCTGGGATTTTTTTTTTTTCCCTCGGAACTGGGGATTGAATGCAAACTCTTGTACTTGCCAGGGATGCACTTATTCCACTGAGCCATCTCCCTGGCCCCAGTGCTGGGATTACAGGCATGCGCCACCACACCCTGCTAGTCATATTCCTTTTTTTTTTTTGGTGGAACCAGGGATTGAGCTCAGGCCCTTGTGCTTTCCAGGGAAGTGCTTATTCTACTGAGTTATCTCCCCGGCCCCAAACATTTTGCTTTTTTTTTTTTTCAGTAACAGGGATTGAACTCAGGACCCTGCATTTGTCAGGCAAGCTCTTGTTCTACCGAGCTATCTTCCCAGGCCCCATATTCCTTTAATGATGATGGCTTCCTAGTTTCTGGTGTGTCTGGGCTCTTCAAGTCCGCTCCGAGGCCTTGCTGAGTGTGTCTGGAGCAACACTGTCCTGGTGCTGAGGAGCCCTCTGAGAGTCCGGCCAGGTGTTCACGCACATGGAGGCCAGTCCAGCTGACTGACGTCTTTGCCCAGCCCTGGTGGGCTCCAAGGATTGGCTGCTTTCTCCCCACTGTCTTCTCATAGGCCAGCATAGGTCCCTCCCAGCGTGTTAGCTCAGTGTCAGCCGAGGATCACGCTGTCGTGTTCCATCCATGTGGCCTTTCCTTCTTCCATTTCCTTGCTCTGTACCCTTTGCCCTGGATCTTCTCCTGTGTGTCATGTGTTTTGCCAAGTGTCCTAACTATGTGAAGCAGTAGACAAATCCAGTAGCACAGGACAGACTTTGAGGCCGACCACTGGCTTGTGTGTGGCAGAATGCTTGTGGTCTCTTGTGAACTGCATGGTGGCTTTTCTGATGCCTTTGTGAAGCAGGGGTTGAGCTGTGTTGGGCCTCATTCTGTGGCCATGCACTGGGGTTGGTGCCTGCTCTAGGTACAGAGCAGAAAGGCAGAGTCAGATCCACCCAGCCAGGATGGAGACCACGGAAGCGCGTCTCATGACATCTCATTTCTTCCCGTGCGGTAGTCCACTCAGCTCACTAGCTCCGTGAGTGATGGCACATTTTTGGGAGAGCAGGCGCCCGAACTGCAGCCCCAAGCCCATGTATTTATTGCAAAGCACCCACGCTGCAACTTAGCCTGACACTGAGGTTTTAGAAAAACAACTCTTGTTTCTTGGCACCTGAGGTTACTTGGTGAAGATGTCCTTTGTGGTTCCATGAACTGAGAGATTCTAACGGTGCGTGTTCTCATTGATTTTCAGGGGCGGTGGAGGAGAACTCATGAGACAAGCAGGTAGGTGGCAACCCCTTCCGCTACCCCCAGGGGAGAGACATCCTGTTTCTCTCATGTCACTCATGTGGTAACATTTTAAAAAAATTTTTTTTATTAAAGACAATACAAAATAATAATACAAAAAAGTTAGAAATAGTACAAAATTTCACTAACCAAATGATATGAATTTGACAGTATTTGCTGTATTGCAACATATTCTCTCAAATTAATTGTTCAGATTCCCAGATATATGTGTGTAAAATTAGAAATAGAAAAAAAGCAAAGTAGTAACGTTTTAGACAGGGCCTTCTGTGGCGCCAGCAGCGGGCAACTTCCGTGGCTTGGAGGTCCCATGCTCTTGCCCCACCGAGACCGTGCTGCCCCTGTGCACGTGACTTACTGAGCCCTCTGCTCCCAAGTCTGACCCACTGGAATAGCTGGGCGAGTGGCTCGGGTGCCCCATCTCTCACTGTGAGACAGCAAGCTCTGTTGTGGACTCTTCCTCTCTAATACAGTATTTAAAATAGCTCTAGTGGGGCCGGGGAGATGGCTCAGTAGAATAAGCACTTGCCTGGCAAGTGCAAAGGTCTGAGTTCAAATCCCTGGTTCCGCAAAAAAATAAATAAATAAAATAAAATAGCTCTAGTTTGGAGAATGATTCCCAGAAGGGGTGTGTGTGTGTGTGTGTGTGTGTGTGTGTGTATTTTAGGGAAGGGTCTACAGGATGTTCAGGGTCTCACTACTAGATCAGACTCAGTGATCTGCCTGTTTATAGCCTCCCAAGAGCTGGGATTATAGGCGTGCACCACCATGCTCAGTCTCATGGGGGCGTGTCTGGCACGGCAGGCCCGTTGATCGAACCCCGGCCCCTGTGCCTGCTTGCAGGTGCTTTAATCTGCTGATCTATTTGTTCTGCCCTCCCAGAGTATATTTTTAAATTGTCTACAGGGACGTCCCTACATGATACCAACAGGTGGACATGTAGAAGCCTGTTCAGTTGTTCCTGCTAGAAACTGGGAACTCATGGGTTTCTCAGGGATTCTCCCAGCGTGCTTAAGGAACTCTGCAGCCCAACTGTTGAGGGCTGGGCTTCCCTGACTGTGCTCCCGATGCTCTGCTCTGCTGGTGGGGCTGGCCCAGCTAACACCATGGCCTTCCATGTGGCGATGAGTTGTAGGTGGGCTGGAGTGCAGACTCACCACAGTCCCTGGTCTGAGTATGGGTGAGCAGGTTCTGGTTCAAGGATGCCCCAGCTGAGGGGCTAGGGTTGGGTGACTCTCCTGTGTGCCCACCCTCACTTCCCACCCTGCCTGCTCTGTGAATGTTCTGAAAACTGAGAATTCCACCAACTTGTGTCAGTTGACACTGGGATTGTAGCCATACAGTTTGTCCCTAGCCAGGATAGGCATGTGCTTGGGGTATGACATGACCATAATTGGCAGGTGTCATCTGATCAGTTCATGGTGGCCTCGATCACCTTCTCTCAGGGGTCGTGGGGCTCCAGCCCCATAGCTTCTTGTGAGGATCCCAGAGCATAGCCCAGGCAGTCTGCTCTCAGGCTGGCTCTGCTCTTTCTGCACATAGTGGGGACTGCACCTGCTGAGCTGAGCTGGGAGGAAGGAGCTAGGCGCCATCCTCTGACCTTCACCTAATCTTCCTACATACTCTTCTCACGTAGGAAGGAACTTTCAGAGTCCTTTGCATTGATCTTTCTTTTCATTGAACGTGTGTTTCACCAAGTTGGGGTCAGATTGTGTAACTTTTAAAGCCCGCTCTCTCTACCTGAAGCAGCAGTAACCTCCATAGCATGAGATAAGCATCTCTTGTGTCCTTGTGGCTCCTGTCACTGTGGTATGTGCTGTGGTGTGCACTGGGCTCTACTACATGGCATTGCCAACTGCTCATTACCACCAAGGTGGTCGCTGTCTCAGGCAGGCAGTGGTGTGCTAGTGTAGGCACATGTGTGCTCATGGCCTAGTGCAGGCAGAGGGGCTGCTGCCTATGGCTTTGCCCACTGCACAACTGCCCAGAGCCCATGCAGCCATCCAGGGATGCAGTGTCCATGTCAAGAGGCAGCAGCCACCCCACCCCACCATCCTCCATGCTTGCTGCACCCTCTGCCTGCCAGGAATGGCCTCCACCAGCTTACCTAAGGACCAGAGCCCAGAGATTTACAAAAGGCACTTTTACTGGCACCAAAGTGTGGCATTTTCTGCCCTCCAAGCCCGAGGTGTTTGCTCTGAGAATGGCCACCATGGGCCCACCCTTCTCTACTCCCTGCCTCCCCCGCTCTGCTAGGAGGCTCCATGGGTTGGATGTGTTGGGGGCACTGCTGGACATTACTGTCCTGCCTGAAGGACAGATGCTACAGGGTGCCTGCAGCTTCTGCCACCAGCACTTGGCCCCACCTTCACCAGCAGTGTCCTCTGTGGCTGGAGCTTCGTCCGCGTTCACCTGCTTGTTCTGACCCTTGCGATTCAGTGTCTGCTGGCCCAGGCTTGTTTCCTGCTGTGTTGAGAAGTGGCTGTGGGTGCGCTTAGCGCTCTGTTGGGAGTCTGTTTTCTTGGTTTCTTTTGAAAGCTGGTCTTTTCTCTGGTTTTTAGCGGTTGTATTATGTTTTACCCAGGATGAGTTTTCATATCCTCGTCTTATTGAAGGCTCTGCTGGGTCATGGTGGGTCTGGAATCTGTAGTTGTTAAGAGAGATTTTGTTCACTTTGGGGATGCTCCCAGCCCTTTTCGCACATCCTCCTCTTCTGTTGCCTCCTCTCCACACCTGTCTCCCATGCTGGTGACTCTCACGGGCTGTATCTCACACTGCTCCCTGCTCTGTGTCTGATTCAGTCTGGATTTTTCTTCTGATCTGGGTTCCATTATCATTAATTCTCTCTTCAGCTGTCTCTTACCTGCTTTTAAATCCATCCATCACGTCTCCCTCTTTTGGGAGGCTAAGGCAGAGTATCATGACTTCAAGCCCAGCTAGACAGCTTAGCAGAAACCTATCTTAAAAGCAAAGCTAAAGAGCCCTCCCGCCCCAATCCCATTTGTCAAATTCTGAATTTGGTACTTTAAATCTTTTAGAACTTCATTTGCCTTTCTTTTCATTTCTTTTCTTTCGTTCTTTTTTTGTATTTTAGGGAAGGGTTTACAGGGTGTTCAGGGTCTCACTACTAGATCGGACTCATAGTGATCTGCCTGTTTACAGCCTCCCAAGAGCTGGGATTACAGGTGCGCACCCACCACACCCAGTCTCAATTCCATCTCAGCGTGCCCTGGGGGCAGGGCAGGCCCAGGGATTGAAACCCCAGCCCCTGTGCCTGCTTGCAAGTCCTTATCCACTGAACTATTTGGCCGGCCCTCATTTACCTTTCTTTTCTGGTCTCTGTATCCCTGCTGTAGTTTTCAGCCATCTCCTGCACTCTCTTGAACATACTGAGCATGGTTTGAAATCCTTGCTTATCTGTCACACACAACACTCCGGCAGCATAGGTACCTCTGGGAATTGGCATCCTGGTCATGTCTTCCCCGCTCTGGACATTTCTGTCAATGACACAAGCCACAGGTGAGGTCCCTTGCTCTGGACTCCTCTGGGATGTGGCAGCCATCCAGGCTGCATCTGTCCTTTGAGCTCCAGGGACTGCAGGCACAGGTTCCTTCGTTAAAAATGTCTTAGCTGGAAGGTTGATTGGAATTACCTCTCCTTTTTTATTGATTGATTGATTGATTGCGGTACCGGGCATTGAACCTGGGACCCTGCGCTTGCCAGGCAAGCACTTAATTCTACTGAGTTATCTCCCTTTAAACAAAATGTATTTTCTTCAATTTGAATAACTGTAGACTCACAGGAGCTTGCCCATTTAAGGTCAGAACTCTGTCTCTGGTTTAGCTTCCCCTTCATGATGGCATGGTATCACAGCCAGGCTGTGACTATGGTGTCACCTGTCTGGCTGCACTCCTGGTCTTCCTCAGTCTCCCCAGGCTCCCACATGGTTGGAGCAGGCACACTTCTAGTTTTGTACAACCTTGAGTCTTGTGTTTGTCAGACATACCGGCCATAGCCCCCCCTCCTTGTCCCAGCAGCCACTCCTCTGCCCTGTCTTTCCTATTGTTCCTAGAGCTGTACAGGTGGACTCCTGCCGTGGTATGTAAGGTTGTGCTTTCCGTGAGCACAGGACCTTGGTGTTTTCCTTTTAGCATATAGTGAATATGACCACCTACCCGTCAGCCTGTTGGCAGCTTTGCAGTGGGCAGTAAGGGTGCCAAGGTGGCTGTGTACAGGTTTACGTGGACCCAGCTCCTCCCTTCTCAGGGATGAGTGCCCTGGAGTCCTTGGCTGAGCTGCGCATCCTGTGCTGTAAGAGCCTGTACAAGTGTGTCCTGAGTAGCGATGTTGTCCCACACCTGATGCACCGCTGTGAGCTGCGCTGTCTTCAAGTCCTCACTCAGGTTTGGTGTTCGGCTTTGTCGCTGTTAAGATCATAGCTATTAGGATAGACCTGTGATGGTGTCACTCTGGGAGTATGATGTGTGTGGTGAAACCTCGGTTTGCGAAATAATTGGTTCCAGAAACACGCTTATAATCCGAATCACTTGTATATCACAGTGAATTTCTCCATAAGAAATAATGGAAGGCCAGGGAGATAGCTCAGTAGAGTAAGTGCCTGCCTGGCAAGCACAGGGTCCTGAGTTCAATGCCCGGTACTGGGGGAAAAAAAAAAAGAGAGAGAGAGAGAGAGAATGGAAACATGATTCATTCCACAGTCCACAAAAATATTCATATAAAAGTGAGTAACATTGTAATATAATATAAAATAGTAAAGAAAAACAAATTAACCTGTACTTATTTTTGAAAACCTTCCTAGTGTAAGGGAGATAAGAGAGAGCAGGGTTATTGTGTAGGATAACTGCTCACTCCTGGCTCGGTGGGATCTTTTTTTCGTGCAACTATAATAAGGGATTTGCCCAATGACACTTGCATTTGCCTCCTTTTGAGGATTTTTCAGAAACGTGGCATTGCATTGTTGTTAAATAGATTGCTCGCGCTGCGACAGCCTTATTTGGGTGTTGCTTCTCTACAAAATTTTGCACTGTTTCCCACATTTTATACCTCTCTATTCTCATTAGAAGCCAAGAATTCCCCCATCTTTTTGTCTTCCTCCTGTGCCGATGACCTCTCCTCCATGTTAGGGAAGGATCACCTACAGTCCTGCAGTGAGTGAGTGAGTGAGCGAGAGAAAGAGAGACAGACAGACAGACAGACAGACAGACAGACAGAGTGACAGTGAGACAGAGAGAGAGAGGGGCAGGCAGGCAGTCAGACAGACAGACAGACACAGAGAGAGACAGAGACAGAGAGGGGAACCAAGGCCTCACTTGTGACCATGTGACATTTAGCATCATTTACTACTCATATTGTGAGAGAGTGTTCATTTATCAAATTATAATTTATTAGAATGTTTACCTGTCTTGCGGAACAAGTTATTTGCCATCCTGAACATCTTTTTGTGCTCTCCCCATACCCTTGTTATCTTGATAAAATACATTAAAGTTCACATGCAGGTCAAAATTTGAAGAAAAAATTAAAATTAGTAGGGCTGTGCATTTTCTACCCCTTAAAACACACTATAAGACTACTGCATTCAAAACAGCATGCTGTTTTCCTAGGAGCAGGGAGCAGGCTGGAAGAGCAGATCCAGGAAGCATCTCCAGGCTGGGTGGCAGTGGCACTTGGGAGCAAGGGAACACATACAGCTGAAGCTGTGCCCCCGCCACACAGAGCTGACACTGCATTGTGACCTGCTAAGAACTCAAGTAGGAGAAATACAGTAACAAATCTTCAGAGGCAGTTTGGGGGACATTATTCCTTGAAAAAGCTTTTTAATATAGAAAATTTCAAATCTGCATAAAAATAAACAGTGGTATAAGGGCGCGGTGCCCCTCCCTGGCTTCATGGGTATAAAGTTACGCTGTTGGTGTTTCTGGCCCTCCAGTAAATGTCCCTATGTGGCAGATTCAGTGCCCCATCCTAGTTGGACCTCAGTCTCGAGGGCATTATGTTGTGTTTTTGGCTTTTGGCCCATACTGTGTAACAGAATTAACAGTGGTCCACAGCCAGAAGAAAAGATACACATGCCTAGGTGTGGGACAGCATGCCATATGTAAAGTTGTTAAGCTGGATTGGTACTGCTGTTAAAAGACTTCTGGGGCCTAGGAGATGGCTCAATAGAATAAGCGCTTTTCTGGCAAGTGCAAGGGCCTGAGTTCCATCCTCGGTTACACACACACACACACACACACACACACACACACACACACGAAAGATTTCTTCAAATTGTCAGTAAAAAACTAAAGCTGATGGACACAGGTTCTGTTACTATGAAAGGAGTAAGCCAGACATGAGGATCTGGATGTAGGAGTGAACCCCAGCAGTTTGGAGATGGGCAGCCCACTGGCAGGGCCCGGGAGGATGGCAAGGTGCCCCTTCTTGTGGCTGTGGGCACTGGACACAGAAGGCTGTAGTTTCCTCTTGCATCTGCAGTATTGGGGCCAGGGAGTTAGCTCAGCAGTCTAAGCGCCTGCCTGGCAAGCGCAAGGACCCAAATTTGGTCCCCAGTACCGCATGTGGTGCTGCCGTCCCAGCCACCCAAACCAGGTGTGGTGGCGCACACCTGCAGTCCTAGCAATGGGGAGTCTGAGACTGGAGGATTGCTGTGCGCCCAAGCTGCATAGCGAGATCCTGTGCTAAATAAATAAATTTCAAAAATTAAAAGAAAAATGTTGAATTCAGTGCTTTCCAAGTTATAGAACGCCACACGTCTGTTGAGAAGGGCGTGTGTTTCAGAGTGGGGGCTAGAGAAACGCGCACTGTGCAGGCTGCCAGGTTCACCAGGGGCTTCTCCTTCCCTGCCAGCTCGGAGCATGTGGCCATGAGCAGCAGGGGCTTGGTGTTGCTCCCAGGGTGCCATCTGGCTCCCTGCTTGGCTTGAGCTGGTGGACAGTGGCTGTCAGCATCCTGGGCAGTCCTGTGGGCCGGGGGTGTGGGAGCCTAAGCGACCTGGCATGCAGAAGGATCTCAGCAGGAAGACATTTCTGATGGCATTAGGGAGGGGGCCAAGGCTGCGCTTGCTGTCACGTGTCGCAGGGGAAGAGTGGTGTGGTGCGTGTGTGTAGTTCACACCAGCTCGCCCTGAACTGGCTTCTGGGCCTGAGAGTGCCTTTGCTGCTGTGAGCACTGGGTCCTGGTTCACATCCTGGCAGCCCACTTGACTGGCAAAGATTCTGTTACCATAAAAGAAACAAACCTGGCCCTCCATGTGCTTTATTTACTGCCATGTGATGCTTTTCGGGTAGGAAGCAGGGTAGATGGGGGCATCCCTGGACCACATCCGTGAGGAAGGCTGGGGAGAGGTTGGAGGTCAGGGACAGTCCTGCTCCAAGCTGTGTCTTTGGGTTCTGCCAGATGCCCCACCACTCACTCTCCTGAGGGCCTCCTCCTTCAGACTGCATCCGGGAGCTTTTGCTGTGTTCCTGTGGGCCACAAGTCTGGCCTGGCAGTCACTTCTTTAATTCCTGGTGACAATACACACCACGCCCTACCCCAGGGGCTGAGCTTGAGAGTTGTTTGCTTCACTGCTGTGCTTCTCATACAAGGGGCTGGCACTGTTTCTGCCCAGAATCCCAGATGTCCACTTGCCTTCTACCCATGACCCTGGGCATCCCCTGCCTCCATCTTGGAACCTGGGAATCCACTGCTCTTCACCTCAGACCATGGTATCCCTTGCCCACCTGCCACCTCCAAACCCTGACACCCGCCTGCCCAGTTGTGGGTTGCTGGTGACTGCCTATGACAGAAGCATGTCCTCTGTCTATGGAGACAGTCTAGTTGCAGATGGTGGTAGGTGGCTTTCCATGGCTCCTGTCACTGCGCAGATGGCCTGGCTTCTCCAAGGTCTGACCTGTGTGGCCGTCTAAGGCACGTGTTCCAGGGCCTGAGTCAGATCCAGAGTAGCGCTGTGGCTCATGGAGACACACGATAGCAGGGCTGCCTGTGGCACAGGGATCTCTTCAGCGCCCTGGCATCTGTGTCTGGCCGGGGCTGAGCGTGAGGCAGCAGCTGTCCTGCTGAGGAGTGGCTGCTGCTGCCTATGGGTGGCCAGTGAGCTGAGGTGGGGAAACATGCTGCTGCCGTGTGTGGCCACAGGCATAGGGAGGTCACAGGGCTGGAAGGCACTCGGGGGACAGTGACATGATATTTCCCCTTTTTCCTAGTGTGTGTCCTGATAGAGAACCTGTCACTCTCCAGAATGCCCTTCAAAGGTGAACCTGTCATTGGTAAGTGCTTTGTTCTCCAGGACACCATGGCAGCAGTTTCCCCGCAGTAGCTTCTAGTCCTAGTATAGAAAACAAGCTTCTGGGGTGGAGTGGAAGGCCGTGCAGATGGGGCGCTATGGGGGATGTCTTGTCACGTGACCTGCTGACTCTAGAGCTCCAGCCCTGGACGTTCCTCAGTGCTCACGGTGGGGGCTGTCCGTGGCCATGCTGCCCCTGGCTGGGCCTCCGTGGTCAGTCCTCGCCTAGCAGACAGAGGCGGTGCTAGAGGCCAGGCCTTCAAGGCTCACTGGTCAGAGCTGGCACCCACCCAGGGCCTCTGTCCTCCCCCGAGGCCTGCCCGTCCATCGCCTCCAGACACTTATTTTTCATTTAGCTGTACAGAGTGAGCACGTGTTGCCAGCTTCGTTGTGGGATAGAATTCAGTTGAATCTTTTGGCTTCTGTTGGTGGGGACAGAAGCCTCAGGGAGCCTGGACGCTCTCTCGGCGGTAATTAAAGAGCAGTGTGTGACCAGAGCTGCATGCTGGGACCTTTGGCTTGGGGCTGGTGTCGCCATGGGCAGCCTCGCCCCATAGCAACCTTGGCCCTGGGAGCTGGCACCGTGCTGGTGCTCCTGCGCCCACAGGGTGCTGTGCAGGGTTTCTCAGCTTCACCCAAGCCTGCTGACAAGTTACTGTGAGACCCAGCTGGTGAGCCCGCCGAGCTGGGTGAGCAGTCTGTGTTTCCTCGATAGATGGCTGGCAGTGGCTGATAGATGACACACTGAGAAACCTCCACCTCGTCTCAAGCCAGTCCAGACAGCAGATCAAGGTGCGTAGAGTAGGGAGTGATGCGTGGGTCCTGGCATGTGTCGGGGGGCATGCTCATCATAGGTCCTACCTCAACACTAACTGGACAGCTGACAAGCCCCATCACCACATCGAGATGCTGCTGTCCACGCAACGCAAAACCAGTAAACTAGTGTGGCCGTGGGGGCCCGGAATGCTTACCTTTGCATTTGTTACTTCCAGCTTTAGGATCACATTCACTTTAAAACACTTTCTTCCATGCTGAGATAAATAATCTGCTCAGGTAGGGTCTGAGTCTGGGGAGCTCAAGTTTGGAACTGACATCCATTTAAGATGCTCCTGTGTGAAGGCCAGAGAGAGTTCACGTCCTGGGGTTGGGCAAGCTATGAGCTCAGCTCCTTCCATGGCATTAAGCTGGGTTACTGGTGCCGAAGAGGGTGATTCCAGGAACAGGTACGTCCTCTATTGTCCTATGCCTTTATCAGCATTTCTGGGCCAGTGGGCTGTGTCTTTCACTTCCTTGTTTTGTTTGTTCTTTTTCTTTTTTCTCTTTGCTCCTGATGATTGAACCCAGGGCCTTGTGTTATTTTTGCCCAGCCCATATTACGTTCTTTATCGTGAGGCAGGCATCTCACTGAGTTGCCCAGGCTACACTCAGACTTGTGATTTACCCGTCTCCAGAGTGCACCACCAGGGCTGGCTTTTTTCCCCTGAATTCAGTTCATCATCCTTGCTGGTTGGACTCGTGCCCAGTGCCTTCATGATTTTTTGTAAAAATTGTGATTGATTCACACCACAAGTGACATCTTGGTGATGTGCCTATCTGGACGAGGGGCCCTCTGGGTCTCTGCTGGCCCCTGACCCTGGGGGCAGAAGGAAGAACCTGCGTTTCCCAAGTTTTAGTGTGCGGCTGTGGACACGGGCTGGAGTTGGGAGGTAGGGTTCTCCCTGATGGTGCATTTGGGGGTACAAGGAGATGCTACCTTCAGCTCCCACTCCCACGGCGCAGCATTGCCCACTCTGTGGTGGCTTCAGAATTGGGTTCTGAGGGGCCCATGCCAGGGGGCTTGGTCTTTCTCACCCACCACCTGCTCCTGTTCTTAACACTCGCTGGGCAGTGCCGTCCTCTGATCGTGCCACGGGCGCATGACCTTGAGCTCTAACATCGTTACACAGTGTGTGTTGAACTGCATTGCTGCTTCTACCAAGAAGGGTGCCAGGGGAGAGGCTGGACTCCTGCCATGTGGAAGAGAGAGCCAGGCTCTCTGAGAACTGTGGCCTGCATATCCGAGCAGACATGCTGGGCAGGAGAGACACTGGGACTTGGTTCTGGGTGTTTCTCCAGCATAACTGCAGACCCTTGTGCTTGCATGTTCTTTGTTTTAGGACGCAGCTGTGTCGGCTCTGGCTGCTGTCTGCAACGAGTACTATCAGAAGGAGCCCCGGGCGGCCAGTCCCACCATCCAGGGTGAGTGGCCACAGTGCTGGTTGCTTGGGATGGGCCTGGGAGGTGAGGGCTGAGCTAGGGAGTGGACGTGGCCATGAGCTGGGCTGTGCCAGAGCTGATCTGGAAGCCCTAACAGGCCCAGCGCTGGCAGAGTGGCAGGAGGGCCACTCACTGTGTTCCCATGGGTCCCGTGGGGCCAGGCTGTTTGCCCAGGTCTCACCCTGTGGGCGATGGTGCCAGGCACATGTCCCAGATCACGGCAGTGCCATGCCATGGCACAGTGGGCTGATGTCTTCTGCACTTTTGTAAACTGTCTTCATAAGTAAACTCACCCCCAGTTTTCTTCCGAGAAGATTCCTTTTACACATTTGGAGCTCACCTGCCTTCCATGTTCTTTTATGCTCGTCCCTTCAGCCTCCTTTTTCCCACTTCATCTGTTGGCTCTGTGCATCTGCCTGTGGTGGCTTCTCGGTGCTGCTGCTCTCAGCATTGCGGTCTGTCACCGTGCCGGCTTCTCACAGTGCTGCGTGCTCCCCTGGCAGCCTGTGACAGGTTCCTGTGCACTGCATGTCCTCTCTGTGGCCCTGTCCACACAGTAACCACCCAGTCTCATCTTCACGTGCTGGTGACACTTGGTTTCTGTGTTCGGCGTGGGTCAGAGCACGTTGCTCTTTTTTTCCCTCCTGCCAGATTAGAGTGAGGCGTTCTCTCCCCTGTGCAGACGTAGACGTTCGCAGTCCTCCCCGAGTGTGGGTGGGAGGTGTGATCGGTCCTCTCCACGGGTGGGTGCCGTGTGTAGTGTGTGTGCCTGGTCAGTCTCCTTGAGCACAGCCTGGATCCAACTTGTGCTGATGTGGAATTGATTTCTGGATGACATCTATGCTGTTTGTAGGGGCAAGTTCATAGGTGCTGTTTGTTAGATTAAAAAATATATTCCCATACTCAGTTGGCCTATTGTATACCTTTTTATTATATTATAGGACTTGCATTATAACCATGTCAAATGTATCCAAAATACTAAAATTATAAATATATAAGAAATCATGTGCAGTAGTATGAATCTACTTTCTGTGATCCTGCAAAAATGCAAATCTAGTCTTTGAGCTCTGATACAGTATACATTAATGTATTTTAACTATTGCTTTTGTCAGGTGATTTTATATAATCTTGTATTTATTTTTTTAAAAGAATGGGGTGACCACATCTTGTTTGTGAAATTCAAAGAAATGATGCTCTGAAATTTCCTATTGGTTGAGAAACTTGAGTAATTAGAGATGGCGGGAGGCTCTCTGTCACATGATCAGAGTGGACAAACTTTGGTGTGTGTGTTGCATTGTCCCCCAACACTGAGGACACAGGGCACACTCGTGGTTTGCCTGCATGCCTTGTGGGAGCCTTCTTGCGCAGCTGAGTGGCACTGCAGGATGTCGGAGTTTCTTGCAAGTGGGATCCTGCCGGGTGTGGACTCCTGCACCTCTCTGCGCTGTGTTTGTCTGAGAAAGCCCATGCCCGCTGCAGATGGGTGCTCTTGCTAGCCCTGCGCTGCACGCCTGTGGTCCCTGTTCCTCTTTCCAGCCTCTTCTTTTCGCTCCTCACTGACCTTCAAGGAGCTTTCGTGTCTCGGCCTCTGCTTTCGCCGCTGGCTCACTGCTCTGCCCTCTTCCTGGCCCACCCCAGCCTGCACTCATATCCATGTCCCAGAATCCTGAGGGTCAGCATGAAGCAGCAACTCTCTAGCCAGGGAACCTTTTGTTCATTTTCCCAAGAAGGAAACGGTGGCTAAAACTTCACGAAAGCCTTAACACGCCTTGTAGAAGTTGCCTGGTGCATCTCATGTGCATCACCTTGAAGGCATGACTTCTTTAGAAGCTAGAAGTACTGCCGTCCCCCCTGGGCACTGTGCTGCTTATGTGTCCAGTGCTGGCTGAGACCACAGGTCCCTCCTTCATGCCCACTCCCCCTCTGTAGAGGTGCTCATCCCGAGGTACCTTGTCGAGCTCCAGAGCCCAGAGGAGATGGTTCGCTGTGGCTTTGCATCCGCCCTAGGCGCCCTGCCCGACTTCCTCCTTCGAGGCCGGCTCCGACAGGTGAGGATTCGGGGAGGGGGGTGGCTAGGGGACTCGCCAGGTGTGCATGGTGGCTGTGGAGGGCAGAGAGGGGAGTGGTAGCTGGTCTGATCCTGAGTGTGCAGCCAGGTTGCTCCCAAGGGACTGACTGGAGCACTGTGCTCAGGTGCAGGTGGGCTAGAGCTGTCAGGAGCTGCTCAGCCTGAGAGCACATTGCCCTGAGCTTGTGCCCCAGCTTGGCTGTGGCTAGGTGGGCCCGGCCCTGTGTGGTGGAGACAGTTGGCTGTGCATCTCTGCCCTGGCATCCAGGGCTCTCCCTGCTCAGATTTTTCCTGGACCCCGAGGCAAGGCAGCCTAGAGGAGCAGCTACGGGGCAGAATACTGGTCTGTGTGTGTGCCAGGCAGGGTCCTCGGACCTCCTGGGCTCACTGGGCACCTCACCTGGCCCCTTGCTGCGACTCCTCCCTGGCCTTTCTTGTGAGTGGGCCTGTCCTCGGCCATCCTCTGTCTGAGTGGTCACACATGCTTGTGTCCAAGGGATGAGGCATGTGCAGGGGCCTTGGAAAGCTTGTGGCCCTCCTGTCCTATTAGCATTAGTCTGATAAAACACTTGCACTTGGGGCTGGGGAGATAGCTCAGTGGAATAAGTGCTTGCCTGGCAAGTGTAAGGTCCTGAGTCTGATCCCTGGTACTGAAAAAAACAAAACAAACCCCCCCCCAAAAAAAAAAAAAAAAACACTTGCACTTTCCTCTCCCAGTGGAAATACCAGGCCCAGTCCCACTGACCTCACTGCCAGGCATTCCTGCACCAGCCCAGATGTGGTGAGAGCCAGCTCTGCCATGCTCTCCTCCATGACCTGGGACTCCCTCCTTGGGTGGGAAGGAAGGACTCTGTGTGGTGCTGCTTGGCTGAGCTCCCACCCGGGTCCCTCTGACAGGCTGACACCAGGCAGCTGGCCTTAGAGATCTTGCTTATGTGAACAGAGAAGCCAAGAGCGTTGATGGCTGCTGGTGTGGCTCAGACCCAGCAGTGGCTCCACGTGCTCCTGCCTGTGCTGAGGCCTGTGCTGAGCAGGCTGGAGTGGGCAGTAGGAAAGGCTGGGCACCCTTCCTCACGTATCGTGCTACAAGCTGCCTGCCCGTCACGCTGTGGCCCCTGCTGTGTCCCAGCCCCAGGCCACACTGCGGAGTCATGTTCCTTCTGTAGCTGATGCACTTTTGTTACCCTCAGGTCCTGGATGGTCTGAGCGTGGTCACCCGCACCTCCCCAAAGGACATGGCCTTCGCCGAGGCTAGGAGGGACAGCTTGAGGGCCATCTCTAGGTAAGAGTTCCCAGGGCGTGCCACCTGTTCCCAGGCCTCCTGGTCTCCCTCTTCCCCGGTCTCAAGAGGATTATAAGGAACATTTCCAGCTTGGTGTCCAGTTAAGACAAACTCTGAATCTGTTGAGTGGCTGCATCTTCACATAGGAACTGCTTTGAGAGGTTCAGAGGATTGTGAAGCCTCATCTCATGCTCAGGCAGACCAGACCAGTGTGCTCTGAGCTCGGGTGCACCTCAGACCAGGCCGTGGGGGCACCCCAGCACCAGTAGTGATGATGATAAAAATGTCAGTACTAAATGCCGACGTACCTCCCTGGAGGTTGGTAAAGAGGAAGCAGTCTGCGTCTTGGGTAAAGAGGACCACGCAGCCTGCTGCTGCCTTCCTGGCGTTAACTCCTTGGTTGGCTTGCAGTTGACAGGGCATGGAACCTGGATGAGACCTGGGAGCTGGGCGCTGTCTTGGCGGTGCTGCAGGCAGGCCTGGTCTGTGCTGAGTCCTCTCAGGAACCTGCCCCAGGCCGCTGTGGTGTGAAGGTGGGCTCTGCTGCAGGGGTTTGCTTTTGCACATTTCCATTTCAGGATCTGCCAGACTGTGGGCGTGAAGGCAGAAGCCGCCCCAGACGAAGCTGTGTGCAGACAGAATGTTGCCCAGGTGTACACCACGCTGCTGGGCTGCATGGGAGACTACACCACAGACAGCAGGGGTGACGTGGGGGCCTGGTAAGGTAGCATTTGCGTTGTGCTCTCTGACCGCGCTTCCTTGAGATGGGGTGGGGCTTCATGCTGTGATGCCAGCGTTAGGCACAGATGCCAAGGGACAGACATCAGGGGTGAGGTCCGCCCTTTCCCCCTCTGCTGGGCCCACTTCCCATCCTCAGGGCTGCAGTACCCTTGGGTCTCCTGCTCCTGGCACTCATGGACGCTGTGCTCCACCGAGGAGAGAGGAAACTACAGAGCTTGGGGCTGAGTCCCGGGGGGAGCTGAGGCTGGGGCTCTTGTGCCTCTTTCCGTGCAGCAGTGCCCATCCCTGGTGAAGCCTGGGAGGGGTGGAAGCAGGGCATCTTGGGAAGAGTTGTGGTTGCCAGGAAGAACTGGTGTGGCGAGCCAGGGTCCAGGCTCGGCCGCCCCTCATCTTAGCTTCTGCCTGGAGCCAGAAAGGACCTACATGACAAGGGACCCCTCATGGGCCTGTTGGTTTGGAAGGATCCTGAGTCCTCAGCTGTACACTGTGCTTTTATTCATCTTGACGCCCTCCGCCCCTGGGGTCCCCAAGTTTCTCTTCCCATGTGGGGTTCTTTTCTTGTCACCTGGGCCTGTTCTGAGTGAGCAGGAGCATTCCAGGAGGGTCGCTTTGTTCAGTGTCTCCTGTTGATGGTCTCGGGGATGGCAGGAGGTGGACTGTTGTAAGCACTGTGAGTTGGAAAGTATTTTGTTAACACTGGAGAGAAGCCAGCTGCTGGTGATCTGAGCTCAAAAGGAGTGAGCCTGCCCCCCTAACATGTGGGTGTTTGGGTCTTCCTTTCTGCCTCTGTCATCCTCCCTTCTTGGATGTCTAGATGGTTGCCCCCTGTCCTCCAGGCCAGGGCACCTGACTGACCCTTCTGCATCCCTAGACACTGGACTCTTCACCTCCTTGCCTTAGACGCCTGACCCTTTGCTCCCTCAGCCCAGCCTGCACACGGCCCCTCACCTCACCCCTCCTCCCATCGTGGGTGTGTGGCCCCTTGTCCTCCAGGGTTAGATGCCCGATGTGTGGCCCTTGCCACTCTGGACATGTCACAGTCGCCATGTGTCGGTCCTGAAGCTGCATTTTTAATTTCTTTGTTCTCATCTTTTGTGTAGATTCTGTTGATCTATGTTTAATGTACTGACTCTTCTTGCCTTCTGCTATTGAGGTCTTCATACAGTTTTTGATTTCACTTTGTTTTTACCATCTGCTCTCCCCATTAGGGACGGAGTGGATGGAGGGGCTTGTGTGCACAAAAGGCCTGCCTTCCTGTGGCTGCCCTGCCACTCAGAGTCCTGGATCCTCCCAGGGTGGTGGGAACAGGGACAGATCTGCCATGTGGCTGTGACCCATGTAACAGGGTGTTGCCCTGGACTGCTCTCTGGTCTGGCCTTCAGTGGTGCCTTGCGCAAGGAGCTACCTCCTTCAGCCCAGCCCCAGGGGTGGCCCACACTGTCTAGGTGTCTTCCCATGAGAAGGGGCTGCTGTCCTCGTCTTGTGTTCTGTTCTCCATGTTCTGTGGTGGAGTCTCTGGTCAGAGCATGGATACAGAGCATGAACTCTGCCTGCTGTGGCCATGGCCCTGGTACATGGCAGATGGCGTGGGTCCATGTAGAGCCCTCTGCTCCCGAAGACCTAAATGACCAGCAGTCGTTCTCAGCTTGTGCCAGGGAAGTGCTGTGCTGTGTTGTCGCTGCTGCAGCTGCCCTTGAGCAGAACACAGAGGCCAGGTGTTGGCCAGTGCTGCCCTGCTTCCTGCATGTGGCTCCAACTCTGGGGTTGACGACAGCTCCTCAGGCCACCTCTGCAGCGCAGGGCCCTTCACTGAGCACTTGATTTCCAGCCTTGTGTGGTTTAATGTTTAGACTCTTTTTTTTTTAAACTCAGGCCCCTGCGCTTGCCAAGCAAGAGCTTATTCCACTGAGCCATCTCCCTGGCCCCAGTAGTCATTTTCTTTCTTTTGTTCTTCTTTTTTTTTTTTTTTTTCATTTTCTTAAAGATAGTTGTTTTAAGTACTTTGTACATTTATTGCAATGTCCATGTCATTTGTGGGTCTCTTTTTAGTTTTCTCTTTTATTTGTATTTTAATTTTTTTAAGTGTCCTTTGTAACTTTTGATCACATTCTTCAGTTAAACTGTGGGGCTTGAGTTGTGTGGTTTTCTCCATGAGCTGATGTTGGGCTGGGCTTCAGTTCATGACTAGAAGGTCTGCCTTGTCCTGGAGTATGGCTTGGTCCCATGGGAGTATCTGACTTCTGGGGTGTGGCCTTTCCCAGTTCTTGTGGGGGCTGCTGGGGCTCAGCACTCAGGCTCAGTCCCAGTACTTCCTCCTGCTCATGCACATCACAGATATGTCATTGCCCATAGCTTCTCCTGCCTCACAGCTCAGGACTTGCTGCACAGCAAGGAAGGAGATGTGTGTGCCATCCTCTGCCATGTTCCCAGCACACTTTGCAGCTAGACCCTGTGTGCTTCCGGGCTTCCCCTACACCCCTGGCATGCTGCCTGGGCCACTCCCATTCGCCCTGGCATGTTCTACGGCCACCCCACCAGCTCACCTGCAGGTATACCTGGTGGCTCCTTATCCCCCAGCATGTATTAAAGGTGAGTGCCCTAGTAATTACTGGAGAGTCCCCTGGAGTTAGTGGAATGTGGTGCTGCTTGGCATCCCCCAAGCTGCAAGGCCCATGCCTGTGCCTGCCCCCGGGACCAGAGCCCACACTGTGGTCTTAAAGTCTGTCTGTGGAGGCTGGTCCAGCGCAGGCTGTCAGCTCATTCATGTTTGCTCCTGGGCGTGGTTCTGAGATCAGCCTGCATCTGGGACCCCCTTAGATGACACTGGTCCTCACAGTAGGAACCTAGGACAGGCCCTGTCTGGGGTTTGGGTGAGGCAGGGCCCTGCTACTGATGCTTTATGCCTCCTTGTTCTGATCATGTGCACGGCACCCATTTGCAAGCCCAAGGGTTGCTCTTGCTGTGGAGTGAGGCCTGCGTGCGCTGGTCCCATTTCAGGTTCCATACAATTTGCTTCTTGAACCTAAGCTAAAAGTGGGATCTGCCTAGAGAGGAGGTGCTGGTGGGAAGGATGCGGTGCTCAGTAGAAGCTGCGCTGCCCGTGTCTGTGGGGTCCTTGTGGGGCAGAGGCTGCTGTATATGTGCCCTTTGCAGGCTCTGCTGGGGTTGCCCACTTTTTCCTCACCTGAGTCCTGTGAATGGGGGGGGCATGCTTCACATTGTGAGGGTCTGTGGCGCCATGGTGGGTTTCCTAACCTTTTACAGGGGAGCAGCAGGGACCCTTCAGCTCTGGAGCTCACCCTGGGTCTTGGTCTCTCAGAGCCCGGCCTGAGTGTGGCCTGTGCAGCCCCCCTGTCTGTTTCTACTCCCACCAGGCCTCAGTGGTCCAAGGACCTCTGAGGGAAGAGCCTGCATGGCTGTCTGTGGGTCCTGTACTCCTGGGCCTGGGTGGGTGGCAGGCCCGGAACCCCAACTTGCTGCTGCACACTGACCTGCTTGCATCTCCTGGTCCTGCAGGGTCCGCGAGGCCGCTATGACGAGCCTAATGGACCTGACATTGCTGCTGGCGCGGACACAGCCCTCACTGATCGAGGCCCGCATGTGAGTGTCACGAAGGCCGGCGAGGTGCTCAGCGGGGCCCCCTCCTTCCAGTCCATCCTGTCAGCCTTCCTTACCTCTACAGGCCTTGGCTGTGAATAGTCCTCCTTCCACTGTGTGCCCCTAGGGTGAGGCTAGCAGCCTTCCCCAGCCCAGCGCCGGACAGCCAGTTCAGGCACAAGAGCAGGGTGCTGCTGGGCTCAGGTCCATGCTGTGGCCACTCCTGATGAACAGCTTGCATCATTTGCTTAGTGATCTGGGGTTCCTTGCTGTGGGTCTCTGCCCCTCCTGTGCCACCTTGCCAAGGCCTTATGCCCCGCCATCAGCGGAGCTGCTTTGTGGAGGTACAGCTTCCTGTCCATGGTCACTTGACTGACCTGGCTGTCTTCATAGACTCTTTCTCAGCTCCAGCCCTTCCTTGTCCCAGCCTCTTTGTCTGCCACCTGCCTGTCACTGTTTTTATCACTCTTCTTCCCTGAGACCTGGTCAGTGTTAGTGTACTGTTGTATGGTCCCAGAAGGAGGCAGGGTAGGCAGGGCCCATCAGCTGAACTTGCAGGCTCCACTGCCCTGTCTGAGGTGCTGTGGTAGCTGCACATGGTAAGGGGCCCACGTGGCCTCGTGTGCCGTGGACTGACAGTACTGCCCTGGTTTGCAGCTGTGAGCAAGTCATGTGCTGCATGGCCCAGCAGGCAAGTGAGAAGATCGACCGGTTCCGTGCTCATGCTGCCCGTGTGTTCCTCATGCTTCTGTACTGCGACGGCACCCCTGTGCCCCATGTGCCCCACCGCAGGGAACTGGAAGCGCTGCTCCCCAGGTACTAAGGCACAGAGGCCTCCCCTGCCCCCGTCGCCTATGTGGGCCGTGAAGAACCTGCTCTCTTGCAGGTCCGACGTGGCCACTGTGAACTGGAACGCACCTTCCCAGGCCTTCCCACGCATCACCCAGCTCCTGGGGCTGCCCACCTACCGCTACCATGTGCTGCTGGGGCTGGCCGTGTCTGTGGGTGGCCTGACTGAGTCCACGGTGAGGAGGCCCCCAGCTGGGAAGGGGCAGGGGACAGTGCGGTGGCTTCTTCCTGGGGCCAGGGCTGGGCCTGTGAGGCCATAGTGAGTCTCTTCTGCTGGCCTGTGTGCTTTCTGTCTCGGGGAGCCCATCTTCCCTCTGCCTCTCTCTCATGTACTCTTGGCTCCTCGGCTGAGGTCAGGGAGGCCCAGTGACCTGGACTCCACACACAGATCTGGAGGACAGTGGCATAGCCAAAGCTGGCTTGAGTGAGCTGGCGTTCTGAGTGGCACTTGCTCAGTCTTTTTCAGTTCCCAGGCCCCACTGGCAGCTCTGCCATGAGTGTAGCTGACGTTTTGGGGGCTTTTGGGAGCTGCACATGGCGGAGCTGCCTGAAACAAGGTGTGCACATCTGCACCAAGTTGGCAGTGAAGTTTCTGTCATACTGTTAGCTGCCTGTCCTGCTGATAAGGAGCAGTCGGCCTCAGCTTATCCTCCAAGGAAGGTGAAGTGATCAAGGCAGGGGGCAGAGGGTGCAGTAATGTTCTCCTGTTGTCTGAGTGGCAACCCTGTGTGCCCTGGGGCCTCGCTGTTTCCTGCTCATGGGGTCCTCGCCACGTCCTCTGTTCTATGTGTCTCCACTTCCTGGGTAGGCTCAACATGTCCCCAAGTCCAGCTCAGCCCCCACCATGCTGGTGGGCAGGTCATGTGCTCTTCTTCCAGGACCGTGCTGCTCTGCTTGGGTCCAGTCTTGGTTCTGTGTCTGATCCCACATGGGGGCCTGAGTACATCTGGGTTCTGGGATTGAGCTGTGGATCTCGGTGCTGGTGCTGATAACACTAAGTGGCGCCAGCCATCGTGCTCAGGCACGAGCATGGTGCACTGGGCTTTGGCTGGGTGCCACTGTCCAAGGATCTATTCCAGTGTACACACCGTGGGCAGCCTGCTGTCACTCTGGACCTCACAGCCCCACGCCCCGTGCTCAGCAGACATGAACTTGCGGCCCCTTGGTGTTGCAGGTCAAGCACTCCACCCAGAGCCTTTTCAAGTATATGAAGGGGATTCAGCAGGACCCCCAGGCCCTGGGCAGCTTCAGTGATACCCTCCTGCAGGTCTTTGAGGACAACCTCCTGAATGACAGGTGAGTGGCACCTCCAGCAGGCTGACTGGGAGGCTTGGTGTGCGGGGCTATCACTGTCGGGTCTCTGGGGTCCAGGGAGCAGTGGCCTGTGTTCACCTGGGCAGCAGGACAGGGCTGAGCTCGTCTTGCACGCCATGAGCTGCTGGGCCGTGCCTGCTCTGACTTTTCCTCTCGCGCCTGCCCTTGGGCCGCCTTCGTACCCTGAGCCATGTGCCAGCACGTGCAGCTGGACGCTGGCTGTGGGAAGCGCAGCGCTCGTGAGAGCAGAAGCCACCGTGAGAACTGGCTGGCCTCAGCCCCTGGATTGGGGACACACCCCTCTCTGCAGGCCTGGAGGCATTTTTGGCCACCTTGTAGAGATCCTGTCCAAGCCTACCTGCCGTTCCTGCATCCCAGTGCACCCCAGGAGATGGAGTCTGATGTGCATTTTCTATCCACAGAGTGTCTGTGTCGCTGCTGAAGATGCTGGATCAGATGCTGTCCAATGGCTGCTTTGACATCTTCACCAGGGAGGAGAAGTAAGGCCTGCCCTGTTGGGTCTAGCCAAGTAGCCCACACTTTAAAGAAACAACATTTAGACCTGGGGTTCAGAACCCAGAACACCCTTCCAGGGTGCTCGGGCTCAGGGCTATGCACGGCAGCCTGGGTGGCTGCCCTTGGTGGGGCTGGGGCAGCTTGGGAGGTGAGGTCCTGCTGCCTGCAGCTGCTCCTGGAGCCTGAGCTGTGGGAAGGGCCTGGCCAGCTTTGTGGGCAGGACAGCAGGGGCCGGAGCAGCTTGTACCCACTGTGGACAGACAAGACTTGTGCCTCTATATGTCTGCATGCTGTGTGAGAGGAGGCTGCTCTGCGGTCCTGTGCCCTCAGGGTGCTGGGCTGGCTTGGTGAGCAAGTGACCCGTTGAGGCTGTTGTTCCCTTGCTGCTGTGAAGGCCTGCTGCCTTTTCCTGGGTGCAGACCTCCCAGCTCCCTTGTGGGTGTGATCATCCTGTGTCTGGGGCACCGAGGTCCCTGGGAAAAGTCTGACCTTTTCAATACTGCTTTTGACTCTTAGAGGACCCCAAGCTGGGTCTCAGGTTGACTTTCTCCCACTGTGAAGGTCTCTGCTTGCTGCCGTTTCCTTTCCAAGCTTTGTTCCCTGGCTGGGCAGTGGGTAGGCTTTCTTGTTCTCTGGAGGCTGCATTCCCTGGCCATGGGGAATCCTTGCTGTCCGGCTCACCAGGACTCAGCCCCTCCCCTCTCGCTCTGGCCAGAGCCTCGCCGCAGACCACCTTGGGGCACCTTGGCTGTATGTCCTCAGTGCGGCCCCTGCAGCCTTGGCCTCCTGAGTACTGCTAAGTTAACTGTGGCAGGCAGGAGGGCGGATCCCCAGCCTTGCTGGATGCCATGGGTAGCTTTTAAATCTTAACCTTGAAGTTACCCATTTTAACTAGTGCTAGCGCAGTGCTGTGGCTCTGCGCCTGCCTTGAGAGAACCGTGCTGGCAGCCACACTGAGTTATGCTGTCACTGTATATATGCTGTGTTTGGCCTGCTGAGCATTCCATTTAAGGGTACTTGTATTTTATTTATTTATTTAGTTTTTGGCAGTGCCAGGGATTGAACTCAGGCCCTTGTGCTTGCCAGGCAAGCACTTACTCTACTGACCTATTTCCCTGGCCCCTTGTATTTTGAAATAAGATTTAAGATGGTGAGGAAACTCCCTTGCTGTAATATATAGCTTTTTGAAAATTTCTTTTTATAGTTTGTCAATTTTTGCTTTATGACTTTTCAAGCTGAATTCTTGGCACTTACAAGGTCAAGAGTGACTCAGTAGCGAATGACCCTCTCCATTTCTAGAAGTGCACTTTTTTTTTTTTTTTTTTTTTTTCCGGTACTGGGGATTGAACTCAGGAGCCTGCACTTGCCAGGCAAATACTTATTCTACTGAGCTATCTCCCCAGCCCTAGAAGTGCTTTTTGCTTATATTCTTTGTCTTTTATTGCTTCTGGTGACTTGGAACTTAAACTTTTTTGACTTTCACTATTTCATGTACTGTATAGTAGTACCTCAATTCATAAACCCTTTTGCTCGCAAACAATTTGGTTTGCAAACAGAAGCATTTGGGAAAATTTTGGTTTTGTCTGCAAACCTGCATTGGGTGGCAGACATGACCAAGGCCACCTTTTCTATGTGAACGTGAAGGTGGCCGTCTTTTCCAGAATCATGGAAAGAATCCAGCTCTGCACCCAGGTACCAAGATTCATGAACTTGATTTATCATTCTGGTCGCAAGCTGAGTTGGATAAGAACCAGCTGAAACTCAGTGATTAGGGTCAATGCTGACATTATGGGAAAATCTGATTCAGTTCTCATGCAGTGTGGTTCCCAACTAGACCAGTGGAAAGAATTGGGTTCATGAACTAGGACACCACTTTATTTTGTTTTTTGCATATCTGCCATTAATAGTCTGTAGTTCTGTGAAAATTCAATCTGATTACCTTTATCTTTTAACTGGATCCTTTAATCTATTTCATTTGCTCTTGCTTTCATTTTTTTACTTTTTTGAGACAGGGCCTGGCTCTGTAGCTCAGGCTGGCCTTGGCTTTGCGATCAGCCTCCGTACCTGGCAGTGGAATCTGCCACAGAAGGACGTTTCCCGGCGTTGTATTCCCTCCCCTCCCCCATCTCTTGCCATCACTTCATTTTTCTCGTTTTGTTTTCTTCCTATCTTTTTGGAGGCCTTTGTGCTTTTTTCTGTTCTCTTAATGGTCGTCCTAGGAACCCAGATCTAGTTCCTAGTACTTGATCCTGCTTAGATGAAGGTGGAGCATGCCTGGCTTGCTTCTCTTGCTTCCTTCCATTCATGGTGAAGTTAGCACCACTTGGAATGCTCTCTGTCTTCAGCTTGCTCTTTCATTACTTCCTGCACTTCAGGCTCCTCCTCTTTTCTCCCTTCCCAGGGAATGCCCTGCAGTGCTCTTGTGGTTCATCCAAAGCATAGAATTGTAGATACTTCCCTGGCCCTGTGTGCTGTGCATCCCCTGCTCTCGCACTGGGTCCCACGGCAGCCTAGGTGCTCAGATCCCCAGTCCCAGTGCTATCTTCAGCTCTGCGTCTCCAGAGCTGTCTTCCTCTTACCTTATTACCCCTGCCTGCCAGCTGCTGACTCTCTCAAGACACTCAGAACCCCTGTGGAGCTCACCTGTAGCCCTTGGTTTTGGTGTGCACATGTGCACATCCTGTGCAGCCCCCAGCCCCCACCACATGCTGTGTGCATGTCTGGGATGTGTGTGCTGAGCTGTGTGTCTGTGTGAGGCAATGCCTGGGTGAGGATTGTCTCTCATGGTGCTTGGCAGCAACTCTTCAGGGAGGGCAGCCTGCCCCACCTCTCCTGACTGCACCTTCAGATGCTAGCTCTGAGCTGGGAGTGAACAGATCAGGCCTTGGTTCTACCAATCCTGAAATCCACACATCCAGAGCAGCTCCAGCCCAGGAAGTGTGCTCACCCGTAGAGCCTAGTGATGGTGGTGCCTACTGCTGCTGCTGCTGCTGCTGCTCCTGCTCCTGCATGAATCCTCACTGGCGTCTAGGGAAAAGGAGAGCTCTGGGGCTGGACTAGTGGTAGAGGGGCTGGGTGGCCACTGGCTCTTTTGGATACTATTGTGAGATGTGGCAGGGGAGAGAGTGGGAGACCAGGCTGCATTTTTCCTGCCTGCCCCTGGCCTCTGGAGACCGACAATGGGGTGTAGCCAGTATGGCAGGGCCACCACAGTGTGGTCAAGACACTGGCTGGGACTCTTCTTAGACAGACTCCCAGTGCTGGGCTTAGTGCATGCTAGTATGGATGAAGATGATAGTGGCCTAGGCCTTGAAGGTCCTGATGGGGGCATGCAGGGCCAGGGGCCAGAGTATGGGGAAACCAAGCATGTGCAAGAAGGGAGGCAGTGGATGGCTGTGCCCTCTTGTGGGCTCAGGACCAGGGTGACTGTAGCCCTTAGCAGCATGACAGTTGGAGGGAGCCAGATCAGGAGGGTCCCATGTGTGTGGCAGTGGGGACCTAGGGTCAAGGCTACCTCTGCCTACCACTTGGGCCAAGGATAGCCATGCTGACCTAGGCCAGCCCTGGAGTACTGCAGCCAGCTCCAGGCTCCTGGGGCAGGTGTGGCTGGACAGCCTGGGCAGGACTCGGGTGTCCTCCTGCTCCAACCAGGGCCTTTGTTGTCTCTGCTCAGAGCCATGACATTGTCAGCTTCTGTTGGGAGTCTGTCACTGGGGCACTGTGACTATACCAGAGCCAGCCTGCTTAGTGTCAGGGAAAATTGTGGACACACAGCATCTGTTCTCTGCGCATCTGCCCGGGAGTCAGGGAGCCTGTCTCTATCTCCTGCTCGGTGTGCCTGGGGGGCCCCTGGTCACTCTGCAGCGTGTGTCACCACTGTCATGTGCTCCATGGGAGGCTGTGCTCTAGAATACTGTGTTTTCCTTCCAGCCACCCGTTCTGTGTGAAGTTGCTTGCGCTCTGTAAAGAAGAGATTAAGAAGTCGAAAGACATCCAGAAACTTCGGTCCAGCATTGCAGTGTGAGTGTTGAGTGGCCTGGTGGGGACTCAGCAACTCTTCAGGGCAGCCATAGGTGGCACCAGTCTAGTGCTTTAAGTACCTGGGTTTCATGTCTGTTTACAATGGTCATAATGAGCTGAGGCCACTGGCCAAACACCTCAACTGCGTCATAGGTCCCCAAGGCTGGGGACAATTGCAGGTAGGGGAACCTCACAGGTGGGCAGGTGGTTGCTGGCCCTCTGAGGTGTCCTCACACCCTGAATCCTGTGCCATGCCCACTCAATCTCCATGTGCCTTGACCTTGCTGATGGTCTCGGGAGCCCTGGACACAGCCTGCTGGCCTCATGTCCCCTGGGTTGTCCTCTGCAGGCTCTGTGGGATGGTGCAGTTCTGTGGTGATGTGAGAAGGAAGGTGCTTCTGCAGCTGATGCTGCTCCTCTGCCATCCGTTCCCTGTGGTGAGTGTTGGTCCCCGTAGACAGAGGCCTCTAAAGATGGTGCACACAGCTGTGACTTGAAGCAAGTCATGAATGTTGGAGCAGGTGGGCTTGTCACAAACATGGATGGCAGCTGTGGGCTAGGAGGTGCTGTTGACATTGCATCTAGGACCCCAGAATAGCTCTAAAGGGCTTAGGGCTTGTCCCACTGAGGATGCTGCCCTGCACCCCACACTGCTAGGACCTCCCTTTTCCTTTGGCTAGGAGAATTCTACATGGCCCCAGGGTGACCTTTTCTAAGGGGAGAGTGACTCAAGATGCAGTGGCTCTCAGGGTGGGTGGCTGAACCTGCAGTCAGCCTTCCTGAGCCACAGGGAAGAGATTCCTTGGGGTGGGGGAAGCAGCTTGAAAAGCAGTGGCTCTTCCCACAGTGACACAACACTGAGGGTCCCATGAAACCCTCCTTTCCTGACCTGTCCCACCGTTATCTCCGTCCTACTAGCAGGCACTGAGCCCAGCACTGTGAGTCTACCTAAGAGAGATCCCAGCCAGTGTCTCTTCTGCTTGGGGCCTCAGATGAGCTCTGCCCTCCTAGAAGTTACCACAGGCCCTAGGGCTCCCTGACCATACTGTTTCTTCCCAATGACATGCTGTCTCTGCCCAGATCCGGAAGGCCACGGCAAGCCAGGTGTATGAGATGGTGCTCACCTACAGCGGTGTGCTGAGTGCTGATGTCCTGGATGAGGTCATGGCTGTGCTCAGCGACACAGCCTGGTAAGGGGGACCTGAGCAGCTGCACCCCTTCTGCTGAGTCTGTTGGATTCCCCAAATACTCTGAGGGAAAGGGGAACATCTCAACCCTAGCCAGCTCAGCTCTGCCCTTCACTGCCTCACCTGTGGACCAGCGGGGCTTGGTGGGGAGGGAATCCCCAGGTGTGGTTCCTTGGAAGGTGAGGGGCAGGCAGCCTGGATCATGAAGGCAGGTGTCCCTGTATTCCAAAACTGTCACATCTGGGCCCTGGTGACCATGCCTGACCCACAGTGATGTCGGTGTCGGAAGTCAGGGCAGCAGCTGATCTTGTCTGGTGACAGTGAGTTGGCCCTGAGTGGACGCAGCATGGAGGCAGGTACATGGCCTCCCCAGTGCTACCCCTCAGCCAGGCAGGGCAGTCAGCCTGTAGTGTAGCTCAAGGTGTCCTGGGATAAGGGCCTGGGAACAGCAGCAAAGTGACAGTGACTATCATACTGCCTCATGTGTGAGGCTGGGATGCAGACACCATACATGTGCACTGTAACCTGCGCACAGTATCCGTGTGCACACTTGAGCGCACACACGCATTCCCCTAGAGGCAGCAGTAGTGTGCTTGTCTTGGCAACAGGAGCCAAGTGCAGGGTCAGGCGTGTGGGTACTGAGCCCTGTTGTGCCCTGCCCTGCCGCCCTGACACAAGTGCAGTGTGCTGGCCCAGTATGGTGGGTGGACGAGGTGGCAGTGGTGTGGAGCTGGTGAGGGTGCACAGTGTGTTCCCTTATTTGGCCGGGTCCTGACGACAGGTTCCAGGAGGGCTGCTGCCTAGTCCTCAGGAGCCCCGCTCGCCACCTCTGCCATCTGGGCAGCTAAGCCACCACACGAGTTAGCAGTTGTTTCCAGTTTTTTTAAAACATTGAGTCAAGACAGAGACAAGTGACTGGACACATTAATTTAGCTTGTTTTTGTTTTAAGTTTCAAAGACCTTTAACAACTATCACCAAAAAACCTTGCTCAGTGTTTTACCACAGCTTTGCTAAACTTTTGCTTTTAATGAAACAATAAATGAATTCAACTACAACTTGAAAAGAGCCCTTGTGATGGGTAGTGCCAGCCCCTCTGGTCCTGTCCAGGGCTCACCTCGCACCCATTTCTGGGTGGAATGTCTTCCAAGCTGCCCCTCATGGAGGCCCACGAGCTGTGCAGCTGCATACACAGGACCATGGCTCACAGCTTCCTTCTCCTGTGCAGGGATGCCGAGCTCGCAGTTGTCAGAGGGCAGCGGAATCGCTTGTGTGACCTCCTCGGTGTGCCCACACCCCAGCTGGTCCCTAAGGTAATATCCATGCCTCTCCTGCCCCCTGAGTATCACAGGCCGTTCATCTTCCACTCACCATGGTGGCAGTGTCTTTAGACACAGTGTCTTAGTTCCTTTCTTGTCACTAAGACATTGTACCTAATACTACAAATCGAAGGAGGAGGGGTGTTTTGGCTCATAGTTTGTAGAGGTCTCAGTTCATAGTAGGCTTCATAGTAGGCTGGCCCCAAGGCAGAGGAAAACCAGCTCATGGCAGGCAGGACAGCAGGAAGCAGCAAGGGATGGAGGGAGGAGGGAAACACTCTTCCAGGCCATGCCCGAGTGACTCATCTCCTCCCACTCCGCTTCACCTTTCCATGTCACAGTCAGCTGTAAGCTCATTGGTAGACTAATCCAGTGAAGAGTATCTATGATCTGGTCACCTTCCATAAGCTTATGAGCACATAAGGCTGGGGGGGGGGAATCTAGACATAAACCATTACACAGTGTGCTCTCTCAGGGCATAGCCCACACCTGCCTGGTTCCTGTGGCCTGAGACTGTCCCTCGTGCCATGGTGTGGGTAAGACTGTGGGTGAGACTCTTTGCCCAACCCAGCACAGACCTCACGCTGCAGCAGCAGCAGCAGCAGCAGGTGTCCCTTCCTACAGAATCTCTTGCCCATTTCCCCCATTGGGCACCTACTGTACCGGTCGAATGGGGGGCACATCCTCCCAATCTGTAGCGCTCCCTAAGCCCCACAGCTGCCATTTCTTACAGCCTGTGTCTCTGTTGCCTTGGTGTTCCACGCAGTGTCCTCCCTCCTTTCTGTCAGTGGGGTTCTCGGTGCCAGTGACACATGGCTCTGTCCTCTCGTTCGTGCTGTCAGAGCTCCTGCACACACTTCTGGGCATCTGCATCTGCCTGCTGGGTACCACAGAAGCTGCTTCTCCAGGCACGCATCCATCCTGTACAGAGAACGCTGACTCGAGTTCCCCTGTGGTTTTGCTATATCTTTTTTTGGTTTTTTTGCTGTTTCTTTTAGGGAGGTTCTATAGGCAGGGGATGCTGTTTCCTGCTTAAAGCTTTGGTTTTCCTTTCCCTTGGTTTCCCCTGAGGGCTAAGCCCTGCTAAGTGCCTCCTTATGCCTGCGGATCATTTTGCAGCCCTGCTGGACATCTTTTTTCACTTGTTTTAGCAAGTTTTCACATTAAAGGTAGGAAAATAAATTATCTGCCGAGAAGGCGTGGGCCAGGTGAGCGGAGGGGTCATGGCCCCTTTGTGCCTGGATCTTGTTCACCTATGCTGAGTGCTATTGAGCCTGGTTTGCAGCTAATTTGCCACTTAATCCACCCCCATTTGGCATTTCTCTTCTGCTGTGCTAGGCTATTCGCCTCCTGCCTGTCCCCTTGTATCTGAGTCTCACGTAGCCCACACTCCCTCTGTGCTGTGTTAGAAGGGTCACCAGGCAGGTGCAATCTCCTCTCCAGCCTCGGAGCCAGCTCACCTCGATCGCTCCTTTGGGGCTAGGTCCTATATGCTTACTTACCAGGTGTTCTTGACCACAGGTGCTGCCAGCTCCTCTCAGCCTCCCTACTTGCTTGGTGCAGCAACACCGCAGGGACACGGCTGAGGCCTAGGTGGTGGGAGCCACACTGACTGCCCAACCTGCTGTCTGTCCCACAGCCTGGAGCCCCCTGAAGCTGGTCCAGTATTGAGCTGTTGTGCCTGCCGAGCAGGAACATCCCGATCTGATGCTGCTGACTGGCCTGGTTCTGGGTGCTGATGTCCACAGAGGGCCACGCCTCTTCTTCACACGCACATGTCTGCTGTTGCCTCACACAAATGTGCTTCCCATAAACCATATTTCAAACAGCTTGCTGTGTCTGTGGACCCATGAGGGGCCTGACTGAGGGGACTTGTGACCATGGTGGGGCTGGAGGCCTCTGCAGACTAAAAAGTTGTCATAGCCTCAGGCTGACAGTATAGGAGCAGCCAGCCTCCCTGACGGGCCATGGTGCAGGTAGTAGGGCAGCCCCTAGTGCCCAGTGGTAGAGCTTGGAGGGACGGCTGAGGCCTCAGTCCAGGCCTGGCTGCTCCCCCCAGTGTGCCAGCCTGTCCCTCAGGTGGGGTGGGCTCCATAATGCCTTGTGCTTCCTGGAACTGGGAGGGAAGCAGGTAAGTGGGATACACACATCATGGAAAGCAGGGCCTGGGTTCTGAGGATGCCTGTTCAGCCCCAAGTCTAAGGCCCAGGTTTCACTTCCACACAACAGCTGATGGTTTAAGTGGCCCGTGGCTGGATCTGACAGGAGCCATCAAAGAATTTGGGCCTTGACAGCAGGGGCTGAGAGCAGGGTCCTTACAGCTAGGAGCAGTGATACATAGAACAGGAACCTTGCTGAAGCACACACTGAACAGCAGGATGCTGATGCCTTACTCAAGCTCTGGGGTATAGCAGTGGTCTGGAGGGACTGTTCCTGCAGGCTTAACAGCACAGGATTTTGAAATGTTGAAGGGCAGAAATTGTCATTTTTTTTAAAAGATAAGGGTAATGAGGGCTGGACAGCCAGTTGGACAGGCAGAGGTCAGCAGAACTGGGGAGGACAGTGGGGCTCCACATGTCCATGTACTCTGGGCCCATGGGACGTGAGGTGCATGCCAGGTGTCAGCAGCAAAGGGCTGGACTGGAGAGGCTGACAGTGGGGAGCAGGAGCTGTGTGGGGTTTCTAAGGAATCATACCAGTCAGCTAGCAGAGTAGCCCTCCTGACACACTGCCATGTTCTTGGTCTCGGCACTTGTGGATTAAAGGCAGAGTTGTGTTCAGCAGCATCCTGGCTGCCTGCTCTGACGTGATACTAGAGGCATCTCCAGATGTGACCAACATCTCCTGGGACACTACTCCCAGCTGAGAACCCTGCTCTTGTGGGAAGGCACTGGGCAGGCAGATGGGATGTGTGGAATGGACTCGGAAGGAGGGGTGCACAGTGCAGGAGCTGGAGTGTGACCACCTAAACAAAGCATAGAGAGTCCATAACATGGAGAGCAGCAGCAGGAAGCACTTCATCCCGAGAAGTCATGATGTGGCTCTCTGTCCTGTGTGCTGTGTGAGGCTGTGGCTATGCTGTGGGTGCCATAAGGAGAGCTCTGCAGTATGGAGGAGTCAGAAGCAACCCCCTACTAAAGGACGGCAAGGAAAAGTAGCAGACGCTGCAGAAATAGACCTGAGAAATAAGAATACTGAGCCGCTGAGTCTTGAGTGGACGAGGCTTCCAGTTGAGCAGCTGCTCCTTAGGCGTGCTCACAGGCGCACACCTGGAGCCATGGTGTGGATGCTGGGGAGCTGCTGCCCAGAGAAGCAGCCCAGGCCCTGCCCTCGATGGGTGCAGCAAGAAGGGCTGCGGAGGACAGGAAGGTGATGGGCTCCCAGGGTGCCGCTGCCACACTGAGACCTAGCAGCCACCTAGCACATACCACAGTAGCCGGACTGTTGGGTGTACAACAAGGAGGATATGTTAATGAGAAACTTGGCCAGTGGACCTGCCTAGAATATAGAACCCAAACTCTGATACCACAAACTCGTTAGAACAAATGGCTTATAAAGTTTTGTTGCTGATTATAAAATACTCAAGCATGAGTAAGATCCAGGAGTCACGTCTGAGGGCATCCCAAGGTGTGCTGGGGACAGAGCCCTGGGGCTGCTCCTGCATGTGGTGGTCTGAAAAGGCTCAGTCATGTATCCATGGAGCTCAGCTGAAGTGAAGAAAGTCCTGGCCCTCACGCAGTTGCAGTGACCGCAGGTTGTCCTCAAACTCGCCCCCTGTGAGGTCCTACAGGGAAGTAGCAAGTCTGGCTTGACCTGGCTCCTGCACTGTGGTAACCTGCAGAACCTCCAGTGGGGCTGGGGTGTGGGGTCCACCTGTGCCCACTGCCCGGGCTCTGCTGCAGGAGCACAGCAGGGGGCGGGGGACAGCATTGGGATGCAGCCCTGTGAGTCTCTACAGGAAGTGCCAACCCCATACTTCTGATTAACAGGCTGTGGTTACCTGGCCTGCCCCACCTCTGCAGGGTTGGCAGTGGCTGTCTCCAGGACCCCATGCTACAGCGGGGCAAGGAGTGTGACCTTGGGCCACCAAACATCCACCCAGGGGTACTTGGATCCTATAATAGGATGGGCCCCACAGGACCCCCTCACCCCTGCTTGGGCAGTGAGCCTGTTGGTAGCCCCACAACACAGCTTCTGGAGGCTCTACCATAAGAGCAGGTCATGGTTGTTGTGTGTGCTGAGGACCTGGATGATGCTCTGGGAGGAGTGGCAGGGTCCTAACAGTGCTGGGTCTGGCACTCACAAGCTTCTGTGAGCCATGGTCCAAGAGCCTGCTTAAAGAGACCACTTAAAACAAGGGTTGCACGACCACATCCCTGTGCCTGTGGTCCTGTCCCAGGCCTCAGCACCACTATGTGGCTAGGGTGGCCACCAGTGCCTGGACAATGTTTAGAGACTCACCAGCTTCACGCAGATGACAAAGGGTGGCTGGGCAGCACGGAAGTGCAGGATGGGAATCCGTGGCTTGGGCCTTTCCTGAAGGGGACAGCATTGGTCACACAGGCTTCCTCTAGAGAGGCCCGCCCCACCCCACAACTTAGTCTGGCTCATGGAGCTGGGAAATAGTTCTTTCCTGAGGACAGGAGCCTGGACTCTCCTGGAAGCAGCCTTGCTCTGGCCCCTCCTTAGCCTGCATACCTGGGCATCCTCATGGCAGTAGAAGCCTTTCTTGATCTTGTTCTCATCAATATCGCAGAAGGCGACCACCTGGGGGGCAGGGCACAGATTGGGTCAGAAGGTCTAAACAGGCTGCAGGACTGGGTGGGGCCAGTGGGGGCTCAGACGGCAACACCTGCCTTGCGTTGGCTGGCAGTAGTCAGGCTGCGGTACAGCCTGCGGCCCTGCTTGCCGGCGTTCCAGATGGTAAAGGCTGCCCAGTGAGGCAGAGCCTGTTCCTCCAGGAAGCGGACGCGGTGGGTCCAGATGGTTGTCCTGCAGTGGGGAGAAGGTACTGTTGGTGCCCAGGTACTATGGGCTCCACAGCCTCACCACAGGCCTGATGCCACATCCTCAGCCTGCTTCTGGGGGGGCCCTAACCAAAAACCCTACTCCCTGGACCCCAGTGCCCTGGGGGGGGGGTGTCCTCACTGCAGTGCGGTCAGTGCACAGGAAGGGTTGGTCGCTGGCTCCGAGTCTGCAAGCAGAGGGCAGTGAGGGGTCTGCGAGGGAGGCGTCAAGGTCATGGCTGCAGCACAGATCTTGAGATCCCCGTAGACCCAAAGGAGTGGGCTGTGGCAGATGCACCCTCAGGACAGGACAGTGCCCTCAGCATCCTGAGCTGGACCCTTGAGTCTGTCCTTAGCCTGTCTCACTCAGGTTCCCAGCGCCCTGCCCAAGGTAGTGTCTTCACATCCCTGGGGTGAGAAGGAGGGCCTGGACATAACTGCCTGGCAGTTTTCGGTGCCCAGCTTAGGACAGGTGTGACCTGCCTGGCATTTCCTGTTCCTGTCCCTTTGCACTTCAGTAGTTGTAGCAGATGGGTAATCTGGGAGGGGGATCCCTAGGTGCCAATCCCTCTGGAGCCAACTAACTAGCACCTCTTTCCCAGGAGACAGAGCACTACTCAGACCACATAGAGCAGCCCAGGGCATAGCCCTGAGGGACCAGAAAGTGTTCCCCAAAGGGACAGCCTCACCACTTCTGTTGTGAGCAGCATGGGCCCCCATTTGCACAGCTTTGGACCTGCCAGGTATGTCCCCACTGCCCTTCCAGAGAGGACCCAGGCTGTGGCAGAAGCAGAACATGCTGTCTAGGGGTTGTGGTCAGCACAGGAGCTTCAGGCTCCAGGCCCAGCCCTGACAGCTTGAGGACACATGCAGCGTGTGCACACACACACGCACATACACACATCCCAGCTGAACACTGGCAGTGGACACGAGGACCTGGACTGGCTGGCATCACATCCCCACTGGGGCCGAGATCCGGTCCCGGGACAGCCCATATGGGGTTGGGACAGGGTCCATAGAGTCCTCAAAGCTGTCTGGAGGCCACCTGTCTTTAGCTGTCCTGTGTGCAAGGATAGCTCCAGAACTGTAGGCCTTCCCTCAGGGTGACGCGTGGGGTCAAATCCTGACCTGCCTCACTGGTGATGAACCCAGGATATTTGTGGGGCAGCAGGCTGTTTGGACCCCTAAAAGCTCCAGTACTGTGTTTTTCTTAAATAAAACTTAAGTGTTCAGATGTGATAAACAAGTAGGTCTTGGTGAAGCCTGGGCACTAAAAGGCTTGCCATCCCTGTTCATCCCTCCACAGACACAACTCAGCAGGACAGTGGCTCTGAATGTGAGTGGAAAGAATAGACACTACCGCCTGGGTATGGGCGGGGGAAGGCTGCTGTCCAGACCAGATGGCCCAAGATGCCCTCTGTTGCCTCACTCTTAAGTCGTTTCTGGCATGAAGATGCTGTAGATTGGGTAGACCTAATCTAGAAACAGCTGTGGTGATCACATCTATACTTGGACAGAACAAGTCTCTCTTGCACTGAGAGGCCACCTGGCTGGGCTTAGGGCCGGGATGGCGCCAGGCGTTGGGCGTCCTTCATATTTCTGCATGTCTCAAGTGTCATACAGTGTGCTGAATGACAGGAGAGCAGACCACTCTTCACAGAAAAGGGAGAGTTGTGTCTGGAGCAGAGGGCTTCTGTCAGCACCTGGGAGAGCTCATGGCTTCCCAAGCCTGTGGCTGTAATTATAGTTCATCACCTGTGCTGTGCAGTACCCTATTCATAATGCAAAGACCTTAATCCAGCCCAGAAACTCACATTAGCTCACCTATTTTGGGTTGTGGGTGGCAAAGCCTTATGCTGCAGAAATAGAAACTGAGTGGGGTTCTGCAGAGGCCACTTCCTGTGGTGGGCATGGGCAAGTGTGGGCCTGAGCCTGGTGCCTCCAGGTGGCCTGCAGAGGTGCTAGATGCCATCAACCACTGGGTGGACCCATTGACAGTGGGGAGGCCACTTAACATTTGCTGGGTGGTGGCAGAAGGGCTGGGGGCATAAATCAGTTGGCCAGAGGACTGACCATCCCAGGCATTTTATCACCCATACTACCAGCTCATCTAGGGCTAGAAAAGCAGTCCTCAGATATATCAGCATTTTAATTAAGGGGTAAGTTACATGTGGATGAAGGTGTGGGTCTACAGTGCCCCTCAGGAGTTCTGTGCAATATACACTGTGTCCTCACGTGCCAAGGCTAAGAGCCTGGGTTGGGGAGGTAGCTTGGTGGTCTAAGCGCCTGCCTGGCAAATTCAAGGACCCAGGTTTGAGCCCCAGTATCACGCTGGGCCAGCCCCAGGTTCCTGGGAGAACCATGCCCCCCACTGAAACCGGGTGTGGTAGCGTATGCCTGTAATTGCAGCATTGGGGAGGCTAAGACAGGAGGATCACTATGAGTCTGAGCTGCATAGTGAGATTTTGGACCAAATAAAAGATTTTTTTTTTAAATACTAAGAGCCTGGCCCAGTGTGTTCTCCAGCTCTGGTCCTGCACTGAGTGCACAGGGTTGCCCTGCATTTTGTAGTGGCAGCGGCAGCAGCAACCACATTTCATTCATATCCACCATGTCTTGGCGGTCAGCCTTTGTCACAGCAGAACTATCCACTAACCCAAGATGCAGGTCTGGGCATGTGCATGTGTGTGCACATGTGTGTATGCATATGTGTGTGCACATGCGTGTGTGGCACACAGTGAACCCAGGATCCTGCCCACAGCTGAGTGAGCACTGAGCTGAACCAAACCTGGCCCTGCTTCCTCATAGGGAGAGGCTGAGAAATGATGCGCTGGAGTGGGCTGCTGGTCATGAGGTCAACATTGATTTGATAATAAAAACAAGCCAGGCAGCCCCCAAAGAGGCATCTTCATCTGTGACCATGTCCTACCTCATCATGAGGTCCCCCCAGCTGTGGTGTGCTGAGGTTTCCGTGTGCACTGCTCTGACCCTAATGACAGGTGTGTCCATGTGCTCCACCACCACATTCTGCTCTGCGAACTGACACATCCATCCAAGTATTTCACAGGACTGTCTTTATTGCTGCATTTAGAAGGTCCGTATACAGTACATTCTCATACTAGCCTTTTGCTAAGTTTATGGAGCATCCTTTCCCACTCTGTGGCTTGTCTGTTTTCCTAATTTCCTGCTTAATGTTTAAAAGCAAAGTCTCACTATGTCGCCCTAGCTGGCCCCTTGGATGCCGAGACTCAGGCAATCATCCTGCCTCAGCTTCCACTCAGTCTCCCCAGTGGCTGAAGCACCTCTGGCTTAGCATTAGTTTGTTTCAGCAGTCTTGGAGATCAAACCCAGGTCTTTGTGCTAGGTATGCCTTCTACCACTGAGCTAGTGGTGTGAGACTGATGTCCTCCAAGATGGTGACCACTGGTGCAGGCCTGAGCTCCTCTGATGCTTTCTGATTCTTTGTAGTTCCAGCTGCCTTTACCTCAACGATCCTCTTTGACCTTGCTCTTCTGTCTAGTGAGACAGGAGTTTGGAGTTGCTGTCTGGCCTGAAGGATGTCCGGTTCCGTCTGTGAGAATATCCACCTCCACCATGTGGCTGCCTGTGTATGGGTTCTCCATTCTGACTGGCGCCTTCAGGCAGCTACTTCATCTTCCTGCTGCTATAGCGTCACAGCAACCCTTCGGCGCATCGCTGTGAGCCATCAGTTTTGTTCTTTTCATGACAGTTTAGACCATTTTCATCTTTGGCGTTTCTCTGGGGATTTTAGAATTGATAGTCCATATCTGCAGAAAGGCTTTGGACACTTTTGTGGGGTGCAGAGTAGAACAAGCTGCTTAGAAACCCTGCTTGCCCACCAAGCAGGACGTCTTCAGTGCCTTGGCAGCCTATTCTGTGACCACACCATGTGCTCAGGACAATCCAGAGCTTCAGTGTGGGCTGCACATGAGAGCCACAGCTTGGAAGGTGACAAGCACATGTCCCTGCCTTGCCTTGGTGGCTGTGTGGTATCACTGGTCCAACAGCTGAGGAGACCACCTACACAGAGCTGCAGGTGGCTTCCTGAGCCTGGACAGATGGAGCTGCTGTGCTATGGGAGCACTGCTAGGAGCCCTGCTGTGGCTGTGCTGGCAGCCGACTCCTACCCTCTTGCCTGAGTCATCCAGGGCAGGCCGTGTTCACGCTGTAGTGGGAGACACAGTTAGCACTCACATGGAAACATCTGCCACCTCTGAACAAATCCAGAACCTTCCAGCCTGGACTTAGGGCAATTTGTGTGTACTGAGAACTAAAACAGAGTAAGAAGGACAGTCTCACCTTGAGGGCACTCCCCATGCTGTCTTGAGCAAGACACAGGTATGCGTAAGGGTATTTCTATAGGTATAGCAGGCCCAGAGAGCCCAAGTGCTGCCTGCTGTGTGGCTATTTGGCTAACTCTGGCGATGCTGCACATGCTTCCAATGTCTGTCCCTTCCTCTACACCACTATTTAACTTCTGGATGCTTTGCCAGAACTCTCCACCCAGTCTACGGCCATACCACCCTCAACGTGCCCAATCTTGGAAGCTAAGCAGGGTCGGGCCTGTTTAGTACTTGGATAGGAGAACTCTCCACCCAGCTCCTCAGCACTGGGGGCTAGTGGCTCACCTAGCAGTGTGCTTCCTTGCGTCTCTGCACTCCCTTGCTGCCAGGACCCCGCTGTGCCTAAGTCCTTACTGCTGCTCCTCCACTACTACTCACAAGAGTCTGCCTGCTTTGTGGTTTTCTGTGCAGTTGTGCAGTGCAGAGGGTACACAACGTATATACTCAGAGGGTACATAAAGAGAATGCATGCAGAGGGTGTACACGTAGAGGGAACACACGCAGAGGGCATACACACAGGATGCACACAGTTTGTACACACAGAAGATACACACACCGAGAGTGCCCAGTCCTTGCTGAGGAGTCCCAGGGGAGAATGGCTCTGACACTGTCTGCGGCACCCATTCCCTGGGTGGGAGGCATTCCCACCATGGCCCGCTCAGCCCTCACAGCGAAGTCCTGATGCCAGCCCTGAGCCCACACCACCCACACTCCCCACCCAACCAGCCTACTTACTCGAGGACAGAGTGAGTGGCTGCATGCAGATGGTAGCGGTAGATCAGCAGGCTCTGGTCCACCCGCACCACCCCGCCACCTTTCCTGAGGTGCTCGTAGAAGAAAAGCAGGTCCTCTGGCACTCCCTGCACAAGGAGAGAAGCTGCCATGGGGAACTTGTATACAAGGGCTTCTGCTGTAGAGGAGCCCATTCAGAGGCTCTGGGGAGTGGAGGGTGAGGGTGGATCCCTGCTGGAGAAGGCCTCTGCTGCTCAGGCTTCTGGCAGAGGGAAAATAAACCTGTTGTCAGGCTGGAGAGGCAGGGCAGGGGGAAGGCTGCACCCTGGGTCGGGTGGGACATTCTGGGCAGGCAGGGTGGAGGTGAACAAGAACAGTGGCCTCCAGATGCAAGGGCACCTGGTGGTCAGAGCCCAGGGAGGCTTGGACACAGCATCAGGATCAGGCTGCACGGCCTCATTGCGACAGCAGGGGGCAACATTGAGTTAGGAACAGATCTGCGATCCTGAGCAGACCTCTGCTGAATCAGGGAGAGCATCGAGCTCCACTCTCCCCATGCTGTGCAGTGGAGGAGAAGCCCGCCAAGCTCCATCTTCCTCTACAGTTGGGGATGAGGAATGGGAAGTTCAATAACCAAGTGGAAGACTGGTCTAAAGCAGAGGGATGGATCCTGAAGGGCTGGAGAGCAGTGCTCAGCTCAGGTGGCAGGGGAGGCTCGCAGGCGCAGGAACATGACCAGCAAAGGCCCAGTCCCTGCAGGGCATGCAACCCCAGGGTCCTTGTGCCCCTGGGTAGGCAGAGATGCTGGGGGTACCCATGTCCCTTGAGGGGAACAGGGCTCTTCATCTCCCTGGGCCGCCCCAGAGATGGCTGGGCCAGCACCCCCCAGGGCCTGTGTTTCCCCCTAGCAGGTTAAGGTTTCCTGCAATTAGTTCCTGAGCAAAGGCCAACTCGAACCTTTAGAGGCAGAGCCATAGCATGCAGTGCAAGATGGGAGCCCTGCTCATGGCACTTACCTGCCCTCCCTCGTCAAACAGGCCTACGTGGGAAAACCAAGCCCGGGAGCAGAACCAGGTGGGCATGATCACGGTGGGGCCGTGTGAGGTGAACACCTGGAAACAGAGGGACCAGCAGTGTTAGCAGGAGGGAGGCAATATCCCTACAGCCCCCTGTACATCATTCATAATGACAAACGCTATGCATGTCCCCTTCCTGTGTGCACAAGGTTGAAGGACACTACAGTGGCACCATAGGCATCTGGCCTGGCCCTGGGGCTGATGCGTGGTAGGGGAGCCTCCAGGTCCCCACCAGGGTGGTCTCCTTGAAGAGCACTGAGTGTAACTACTGGACCCCCGTGCCTCCCACAGGCAGGTGGCTCGGCCTGCCGTAAGAACTACCCCATGAGCCCAAAGCAGCATGAATCCAAGGGCAGCCAAAGGAACTTATGAACAGATTCCTAGAGGGACAAAACCATTAGAACAACTTGAGAGAAAAAATGAACTATCACTAGCAAGTGAGAGGCTGGATGAGGCTGGGCAGCTTCCCTGATGGGCTGTGCCAAATGCTTGAGGCACTAACACCATTCTCAGAAACTCTCAAGGAGCAGACGTGGGGAACACACTTTACCACTTCCTGGAGGCCAGTGTTACCTTGATCCAAAAACAGAGCCAAGGTATCAGAAGAAAATGCCACTCTGGTGTCCTTTATAAATATAGATGACAAAATCTGTGCAAAGTACTTGGCAGAGGGGCCAGGGAGACGACTCAGTAGGATAAGCGCTTCCCCGGCAAGCGCAAGGGCCTGAGTTCAATCCTCGGTCCCACAAACAAAACAAAACTTAGCAGAAGGAGTCATCACAGAAAGGATCATGTGCCATGACTAGTGGGATTTACTGCAGGAAAAGTGGGTCACTATGTGAAAAACAGGCAGGGTGATACACCATGTTAAGAGAACAAAGGGAAAAAAACTAATCAATTGTCTTGACAGATACAGAAAACTGACACAATCCAGCAACCTTTCATGACAATAGCCTAGGAACAGAAGGCATGACACAAGGTCTGCTCAGAGCATGAGCTGCTGGAACCTGCCCGAAGGGCAGGAATGAGACTTAGACATCCACTCTGCGCCCCACCCCCCCAGCCTGTGCATGCAGTTTCCAGACAGAGCAGCTGGATAAGAAAAAGAAACTGTACCCCAGCCTGCAAAGGAGGAGGTGAAACACCTCTATCTGCAGATGACATCACCCCAAAGTAGGAAAGCCTAGACACACACACACACACACACACACACACACACACACACAGTTTGGGCTAAGTTCAGCAAAGCTCTGGGATGAAGATCCATATACAAAACTGAACTGGATTCTATACACCAGGAAAGAGCATCTAAAAATCAAATTAAGAAAATACGTACAGTTACAACACAGAAAAATACTTAGGAATAAATTCAAGAGTGCAAGACTTACTGGATGACAGTATTTAAGATGAAATATTACCTAACTTGACTGTAGGTTCAACATCATCTGTCAAAATCTCAGCTGCTTTGGAGGGGGCAGAAATGGTAAAAATGATCCTAACACTTAAAGGGAAATGCAAAGGATCTCAAATAGCCAAAGTTATCTTGAAAAAGAGCTAAATTGGAGTCACACTGCCTGTTTCTAAAACTGAGCTCCAAGCAACAGGAACCGCATGGCACTGGCATTGGGACAGCTGCAGCTTGGAAAGAATCAACTGAGAGTCTGAAGATACACCCAGATGTTTATGTTTCACTGACCTTTCCCCAGGATGGCAAGAAAACTCAATAGAAGAAACAGTCTTTTCAACAAGTGATACTGAACAGCATGCTGAAGTGTATGTAGAGCTGGGCTCTTACCCCGTATCACATCAAAAAGTGAACTCATAGTGGACCAAAGGCCTGAATGTAGGAGCTAAAATTATAACATTCTTAAGGAGGAAACACAGATATAAACTGTTAGGAACTTAAGTTAGGCAAAGGCTTCTTAGACTGACCCCAAAAGCATGAGCAGCTACTGTACAGATAAGACACAAATGGGAGGTAATTAAAACTCAAGTTCTGTTTGAAAAGACTATTAAGGAAGTGAAAACCCACAGGAAGGAAGAAAATACCTACACATCACATCGCACAAGGGCCTTATATCCCTTGTAATGCAGGATGTATTTAGCTCAACACTAAAAAGAAACCACCCAATTTTTAAAGAAGCCAGTTAAGGCAGGTTGCATGCTGCATGATTCTGTTGCTATGAAAAGTCCAGGCAACTCCTGTGACAGAACGTGGATTAGTGTTTGCCAGGGGCCAGGAATTGGGGAGATGGGGGATGACTATTAGCAGGACAGAATTTTCGGGGGGGGGGGTGATGGAAAGGTATGAATGAGACAGCGATGGTATTTGCACAAACTCTGCAAGCAAGCTAAAAGCAGCAACTGTGTACTTACAAGAGTTGACTCTTATTTTTATTTCATTTTATGTATTTGATACAGTGTCTCACTATGCAGCTCGCACTTACAGTGATCCTCCTGGTTTTAGCCTCCCCAGCGCTGGGACTACAGGCATGCACCACCATGCTTGGACTCTGTCACCGGTTCAGGGAATAGGGTGTGCAAGGACTGTGAGTGTCTGCCTATGCCACCTGCTGCAGCTCACTTTTTCAGGAACAGGAATGGGTGACATTAGGGGCTGGAGAGATGGCTCAGTAGAATAAGTGCTTGCCTGGCAAGTGCAAGGGCCTAAGTTTAATCCCCGGTCCTGCCAAAAAAAAAAGAGTGGGTAATGTGGTGTGCCCCTATGCAGGTCTGCCCATGCATTCTTCCTAATCTCCAGCCGCTCCTTCTCCTGGGACCTTCTTTCTTTGCAGTATGTGCAGTTCCACTTGCTGGTGCCTGTGTGTCCACACAGTTCTCTGGGCTCTGACTGACCAGAACAGGGCTGTGCCTCTAGGCTCAGCCGGAGGACAGCCCTGTGACAGGATAGCCCGACCTGGTGGGAGGTGCTAGCAGTGCAGCTTTGCCCTTTTGAGGCAGTGGCCTGAGAAGCTGCTACACACTGCCCACACTGCTTCAAGGCCTTTCATGGGGGCAGCCACAGCATACTGCCCTGCAATACCCGCAGGCTAAGGGAAACTTTGGAGACTCCAACACTATGGGCTGTGTGCTGTGGAGGCCCAGCCATGCACCCCTTCTCTAAGGAGTGCATGTTCTTAGGAGCCTCCAGGTGACAGCTGGGCCAGGGAGGTCCTCTGGACTCTGAAACTGTGGGAGCCTCTGGGTAGGGGTCATCTCCTGCATGCTGAAAGGGACCCTGAGGAAAATCCCTGAGCACTCACTCCCCAGCAGCCATGCAAGCCCAGTTTGGGCCACAGGAGTAGGCACTGGCCATTCCCTAACATGCCCTGAGCTCCTAAGGATCAGGCCAAGGTCTCCTTCCTGGGCCCTTCACTGTGGTAACTGTGAACAGCCACATGCTACTACCCGAGCAGGTCTCAAGGCATCAGAGATGCACTGCACTACTCCGCCCTGTCTGGCCCTCAGGCCTCACCTGTTCTATGTCACACTTCGATTTGCAGCTACCCCACATGGCACCTCTAGCCCCCAACCCCCACTTTCACTGCAGGCACAGTACAGGCTGGACTGCAGTTGTGTGACCATGTACCTCCCCCAAAATGGAAGAAATGCAACCAAGGGGGTGTTCTATCAATGTGCTACCTGCATCCCTAGTTCCCCTGCTTTTATTTTTTATTTTTATTTATTTTAATTAGACAGTATTGGGTTTTTTTTTTTCCATTTATGTATTTGGCACAGGGTCTCACTATGCAGCTCAGACTCACAGTGATCCTCCTGTTTTCAGCCTCCCCAGCACTAGGATTACAGGCATGCACCACTATGCCTGGACTTGTCTGCTACTCAGTGTGCTCCAGGGGCAGGGCTGGCACCACACACAGGACAGGGATCAAACCCTTCCCCTGGTTTTAAATTTTTTTTTCTTATAATAGCTTTGCTCAGTTTTTGTTAGTTTTGAGACAGGGTCTTACTCTGTAGTTCAGGCTGGCTTTGAACTCACCATGTGGTCCAGACTAGCTTTAAGTTTATGGCAATCCTCCTGCCTCAGCATCCTGAGTGCTGGGATTATAGGCGTGTGCCACCATGGCGGGTCCAGTTTGCTGTTTTGACGTAGGGTGAAGCTATCTTCACACCATGAGTAAGGCTGTATTCCTCCTGCCTTCTCACTGACAGAGCCTACAGGACACTACATATTCCTTGCGTTCAACATAGTTGTCCAGTGAGGTCTATAAGGCCTAGAGAGCTTTGCAGAAGGGCTTTCAGCTGAAAACTCAGCTTCTTTAATGGAGCCAGCCTCATGCAGAGTCTCTGCTTCTTCTCAAGTGAGCTTCTCAAGTTGGGAAAGTGCCCCTTCTGTCAATAAGGAAGGGAGGCCCCGCGGCCAAGCTTCTTGTGCTGTGGGGCGCCCTTCACTGCTGACACAAGTATGCTGGACCTTCTCTTTCCTTCTCTTAATCCACCCTGGCTCTGCTGATTTCTCATCTCTTTCAAGAAACCAGTGTTTTGTTTTCATTTTCTCTGCAAAGTATTTTCTAGAAAAAATGTTTCCCAATAACAATTTTCCAATTTCATTCTGTTAATTAATCATTAACCATAAGTGATCCATAAGGATACTACTTAATTCCTAAGCTGGGGCTGTCTAGAGATCTTTGTCACTGGGGAACAAACCAGGTTCTTGATCCTTGACCCTGGTAGGGACACACCTCACTTGTGTGAAGATCCCTTAGCCCTATCATGGTGTGGGGTCTACTGCAACCAAGAGTGACAAGAGGGGAACTCGTGGCCACTGAATGGAGCAGGTACAGGCTCTGGATGCATCCCTGATCAGCTGATGGCAGGGTGCCCCCAAGAGGCAATGGCACATGCCACAAACCTGACATCAAGCAGCAGGTCAGTGTCAAGGGACAAGGACAGTGACACTGGCTGGGAGGACACTGAGCTAGGGCTGGGTGGGGGGCCACACATCAAGAGTCCCAGGCCTTCCCAGATTCTGGAGCCAAGGCCCTCCCTGGTGGCCTGTGAGGCCTCTCCTAGCCACT